TGAACCTGGGCCTCCTGCATTGTAGGCAGATTCTTTACCATTTGAACCAACCAATCAGGGAAGCCCATCTGGTCATAGAAGCACTTAATGAGTGAATAAAAAAATGAATGAAATAAATGAAACTGAGTCTCCCTTGGTTGAGAGGAGTGGGGGGAAGGTGAAATACCAGCTTCTCAGCCACTTCCCTTCCCCACTACATAATCGGAAGGCATGCTGGGGCTCCAGTCACGATCTGGAAATCACTAATCTTTTCCATACATATTGGGCACTCTGTCATGCTCAAGTTCATGCTTTATTACTACTTTCTTTTATTTCTCTTCAAAAATTTTATCTGCATACTTTGTCCCACCAACAAGGTCACCAACTTCTGAACAACTAAAACACCTGGCACCTCAAATAGGTGAATGAAAGTCTACCACGTTAGTGATTTTTTACAGATTTGCTTGGCCATGTAGAAACTGTGATTGGCCATGTAGAAACTATTCATCACTGTTAGGAACCCACTCCTCAAGGTGGGGCCATGGTCGCTATTTGCTTATTGCCATTGGGGTGGTGGCTTCCCAGGTGGCACAGTGGTAAAGAATCCACCTGCCAATGTAGGAGACACAAGAGACGAGGGTTTGATCCCTGGGTTGGGAAGATCCCCTGGAGTAGGAAATGGCAATCCATTCCAGTATTCTTGCCTGGGAAATCCCATGGACAGAGGAGCCTGGTGGGTTACAGTCCATGAGTTGCAGAGTTGAGCACATATTGGGGGTGAGGGTTGTCTTATTGTCTATCTGATTCTTTTGCTCAAATCTATTGCCATTTCTGTTGGCTATGGACTAAGTGAGGCTCTGAGACTTTCAGCAGAAAAAAAATGTTTCCACAGAGCTTCACTGCCTATTGGCTTCACTGTCATCCCTCTACTTTGCCTGCCTGCTTAGAGCTTCTGGGACCAGCTCCTTGGAGTTTAAGGGGCATGAATGTCTTCTTCCTCTTTAAGTCCCCGGTATTCTTTAAAAGTGTTTCTGTCTTGCCACTTGGCAGTAGGTGGGTGATTATCTACAAAAAGGGTCTTATGGGTCACTGCTTATGTCACTGCATTGGGTCCAAGCCTTAGTCCCAGGGTCCCATAATCTATATGGTGGCTTTGTAAGAATAAAAAAAGGCACTCCTTCTGGTTGGATGCACCCCCAGAGGTGCATGCCATAGTGAATCGAGCTCAGACTAGCTTCTAGCAGTGCACAAGGTGAACAACTATACATGTCATCCCCACTTGTTCCATTTACATATACAAATGGTTCCTTCAATTTCCTTTCCTAAATAGTAAGTACGACCTTTATTTCACAAAATGTCCTTCTCTTGGTTGTCCTCTACATTCTTCCAAGTCTGGGTCATTAATGACCTAATAATGAATCCTCTCCTCATCTGAGTTTCATCAAAAATTATATTCTCTTCCAAAGGCTATAATTCTGCTTACAGATAAATGATTCTATAGTTGAAAAGGTGTACAAAGATCAAGACCTTGCTTGTTACACACTTCGGTCATTCCTATCCTGGATGTACTGAAGAAAGTCAACAGGCTATCCTATACGGGACTCATTTTCAGAATATTTCTCCTGACCCACAGGAAGACAGAGAACAGGGAAAACCTGTAAGGAATTGTCTCCTTTGTTTTTTCCAAGAGGGTAGGAGGAGGGAAGGAGAGGAGGAGAGAGAAAGGGAGGAAATAAAAACAACCTGGGAAAGAAAAGTAAAAGAAGATGGGGGTCCAGAGGGGCAGCTGGGGCCTTAGAGGAAAATAGAATCTTTGAATGTATTCCTGCCAGAGACAAAAGCACAGACTCATTTAAAAAACAAAGGAGGGCAGCTTTATTCTAAAGCCTGCTGTGCACCAAATATAGGTACTCAGATTCAGCTCTCCACTTTCCGAGGAGGCAACTTACAGGGCAGAAACAATACAGAGAATACATCTACCTCACTTTCTCCTACCCACCTTAACTATCGCCCACCCAAATAATTCCTCTGAGTAACACATTGGGAACCTTTAGCTCCCTGGTACTGGCAGGTTTAATGTGTCCATTGCCAGCAGAGAATTTTGTGCCAAGAAAACCCGACTCCTGGCGTGGAAGGATTAAACAGTCCTCGGGAGCCATCTGTGCAGCAAAGTGAGACAGTGACTCTGTGCTCCCAGCGTGCGTGTGTTGCCATCGGCAGTAGGAAGTGACTTCTATTTACATGACTACCTCACGCAGAGAACACCTAAGAGGAGCGAGGAAAGTGGCCACGCCAGTCGGGGGCAGAGTTTGAGAAGAGGGGGGTGGGTATGGGAATGAGAGGCCTGTAGGAAAATCTGGAAAAAGATAGAGGCTGACATGGCAGATTAAAACTATTTATCCTCTAGGGCGAGGACTGACTGAAGAGGAAACACCCTGTTGGCTGATGTTTTTGGAGTGCAGTAGAGTAGGTGCCATGGACCTCCTTGGATATCAAGGTTTGGACTTCACCCTGTCCTTCGAGGTTCAAAGACTTTCAAGATGGGATTTTTAAAATGAACTTTGACTCATCATCCACCAGGATCTACAGTCAGGATGAGGGTCCTGGGCAGTATACCTCTGATGTTTTGGGATTTTTTTTTTTTTAGTACTTTGGGATTATTTGAGAAAGACTTTTAGCCATGCCCCAAATATGGTGCACCACAGGAGGGATGCTTTCAAGTGTAAGCATCCTGGTTGGGTCACTGACAAGAAAATTAGAGCTGTAAAATGAGAGAGATGATGGAGATGTATAGTTTTTATAACAATGTTTCCACTCAAGAACATTTAAAATTAAATCAAAAAAGATTTTAAGGTTTCTATTTTATACTGGGTGATCCAAAGAATACAATATTGAGGAAAGCTTTGAATGACTAATAATACCACAGAGGGGTAAAAGAAGTACAAGATAACTATGAATCTAAGAACAATTAATTGAGGATTGAAAGATATACAAGGAAAACATCATGTGAGTCAAAGAGAGGATGCTAGTCCACCAGAAGAGCAGTATAAGTGTCCTAATAAATGGAGTGAGTGACAGTCGCATAGTCAAGTCCAACTCCCTGTGATCCCATGGACTACAGCCGGCCAGGCTCCTCTGTCCAAGAAATTCTTCAGGCAAGAATACTGGACTGGGTTGCCATTTCCTTGGCCACCTAATAGATGGAGGTGGAAGGGGAAAAAATGACATTCCAGGGCCGCTGTAAGAAAGGTATTGAACACCTGGTTAAAGAATAAGAGCTGGACTTAGTTGAGTCCATGGGAAAAGTCCATGAAAGTGCTGTGAGTGGAGGTTAAGCTCCTACCTCTGTGTGCGATACAGCCTGGAGTGTAGGGACACCAGCTAAGGAATGAGCAGTGGGGTTATGGTTGTGAAAGGTGGTAGTCATGTGGCATCAGCGATGTGATCATGAAGCAGGGAAAGGATGTCTAAAGCAGCTGATTGGATATGGAGGAGAAAGAATGGGAAAAACTGTGTCCAAAGGTCACGTGGGGCAATCAGAAGACATAAGGACAACCTGATTATGGGACTGCTTTGTAGTAGAAGATGATTCATACATCCCATTTCATAAGCTGTTACTTCTCTCTCTCTTTTTTTTAAATTATTGCAGTATAGTTACTTTATTATGCTATTTTCTGCTGTATAGCAAAGTGAATCAGCTATGCATTTACATATCTCCTCTTTTTCTGGATTTCCTTCCCATTTAGGTCACAACAGAGCATTAAAAGTAGAGTTCCCTGTGCTACATAGTAGGTTCTCATTAGCTATCTATTTTATACAGTATCTATTGTTAATTTTCTATTGTGACTGGTAAACAGAGATGAAAACACAAACTCAGACACAAATGTACTCATACCCCTCTCCGCCACACCCCACACAAGCCTTGCTAAATAAAGCTGAAAGGAAGATGTAAAACTAAACTATACATGTCTAGTAAAACTGGAAATTGTATTTGCATTTTATTGTGCTTTGATCAAATGGGCTCAGAACCCCTAATAATGATGACATCTCACAAAAATGTACAAATGTGGCTTAGACCAATGTATGAATACAAAGCCCAAGCACTGATGAGAAGGAATTGTGCTCTTAAATTATACGGGTTATTGTTTTTCTTTCTTTTTAATTCACTGTCCTGGGAAGAGTTTTGAATATCCTCTGAAGAATGTAAACATCGGATGACTGACCCAGCCATCTGTACGTTTAGGGGTTTCCAACTTACATGACAAAATCTGGAAGTTTTGGGGAATGGTGCAATGCCCTGAAGGGTCCCTAGTACTTAGGCTGATATTCCAGCTGAAGCAAATGTGCTACCAAAGAGAGTGCCCTGGCCCTGCAGTGGCACCCACGCTAGCATGCAGGCTGCCAATGATGGCTGCACCCAGGCCCCATCTCAGACGCGATAGCCCATTTGCGCAGTAACCTGCCCACTGGCTCTTCCAAGCAGGCAACCAGCCTGATGGATGCTATTCAGTAATTTGGGTTCAAGAGCTTTTCAGAGTATTACCCTCCTGTACCTATAGGACACCTGCTTTACTCAAATCTTGTGGGGAAAAAAAATGTACACATTTGGCTAAGAATAAGAAAATTATAGGCTTGTACATACATCTTAATTATGATAATACCATAAGAAATTTTAATATGTGGTTAAAGACTTAGAGTGTCTTCTGGGCTGTAAAGGAATATGTTGAATTTGACATGTTTTCTAAACGGAAATTTTTTTATAATTAAAGTAATTATCTGGTGTTGCTTTGTATTTCCAAATGAATGCATATTGTGACCTATATAGCATACGATAAAGGCTGTAATTATGCAGAATATAGTAGGGGAAGCTACTGGAGTAACTCTAAACCACCTGTGTTATTTTTTAACAAGAATTTTGTTGGAAATAAAAAATATATATTTTCTAGAATAGATGCACTTAAAAATGTTCTTATACCACTTATAAATAGGTTATAAAATGGATCTAGTTCACCACCGCTTACCCTGTAAGAGCCAAGGTTGTCCTCTGGAGTTGGAAGGCCCATGTAACGTTCCGTGTACACGGAGTCTGTGATGGAGAAAAGAAAAAACTTAACTCACACTATAAAAGCTTTTCCCCTTTTACTGGGTTGCTTTATGTCTTAACTTGCGCAAAGGTCTACAGTGTTATACCATCAGAAGTATCTCCTTCAGATCATTTCTGCTTGCCTTGTTGAAGCATCCAGACTCCTGTCTTTCCATACTCAGCCCTGTAACCCATTCCCATTAGCCCTTCCCTGCAGGACAGAGGGAGATTAAGACAGGTGATCTAAAACCCAAACAATAACTCACCTGCAGAAAAGTCAAATGTGAGATGCTCCGTGGCAAGGATACTATATTAAAGATCTGACTCCCTTAAAGATCTTGATTAGCAAGTCATTTAATGTCTAAATTGTCTTGAATTTCTTGGTCCTGACACATGTATATGCCCTACTTTAGGATATTCTCTTTCCTACTGGAAACTCCTCATAATTTTCAATTACTACTTGCTCACTTAAAACATATTTTTTTAGGTGCGGGAGGGACAGACTGAAAGCAAAAAATTCAGTTATCATTATTTGAAGAACAACCCCATACTGGCTCAGCTACTCCATCATAAGGCAAGTTAAATATCTATTTTCTCTCATTTTGTGGAGAGAGACATATAAATACATATAGCTATATGTAGACATATATGTATATTTTTTAAAATATCAGTGAGAAAATGTATTGTTGCTGAATTCCAATATAACTTTAAAAATGTGAAATAACTTTTTGAAAAATGGCCAGGTTACACTAAGTAAATAAGTATAATATGTTTCCATTGTGCTATATAGATTAATGACATGAATATCACTGTAATTGTACCAGTATTTCAATACCAATTTAATTAACTATTTAGAAGAATAGATCATCAAAACAATAAGCTTAGGCAACATTCTAACCCCTTTTGAATGACTGGCATTGATAACTAGTATTAGCTGTTCCATATGTATTGCTCAGGCCCTTTCAATGGGAATCAAAATAGTTTCCTCCAAAATGAGTTTTTATTATTTTATCATTTTGATTAAAGTGAATACAGACTATATGTAATTGTACATATCTAGAGGACACTAATATAGTAAATACAATATTTTAAAGCACACTTTAAAATATAAGACTTTCCCAAAATGGTCATCTTTTAACTTTAAATAGAAATAACTTGGGATGTACACTTAATGGGGTGGGGGAGTAGGAATAGCTTTTAAGGGCAAAATAATTTTTCCCCAAAACAGGCATAATTCTTCTTGTCCTAGAACATAATAGCCCTTTCTTATTATGGTTACCAGGTTTTCTTGTGTAAGAAGATCTAAAATTTTTAAAATACTATTTAAAAAATGCTTAATGTCAGGGGTTAATGTGGGGCTTCCCTGATAGCTCAGTTGGTAAAGAATCTGCCTGCAATGCAGGAGACCTGGGTTTGATCCCTGGGTTGGGAAGATCCCCTGGAGAAGGGAAAGGCTACCCACTCCAGTATTCTGGCCTAGAGAATTCCATAGACTGTATAGTCCATGGGGTCGCAGAGTTGGACATGACTAGGCATCTTTCACTTTCACTAATGTCAGTGTAAACTTTAGAAGTATGTCTTGCAATACCATTTATGCACTCCTTCCATTTGATTTTTGAGTAATATTGTTCAAATTTTCACACATGTAAGAATTCTAGAAAGTTCTTGTTAGATTGGTCCATATACATTTAATGAACTCTTCTTACCATTATATATTTCCAAATTCATGAAGATTGTTTCTATTATCTTACTGACCACCAGAGGTCTCCAGAAATAAGCCATCATACAGAACAATTAGTATCAAGCAGGAAAGTATTATATGAAAAAAAATCTATTGTGTGAGGATCAGTCCTAACCATGTTCTCCAATTTTTTTCAATAGAAAGACAATGATGTATCTTTTACACATTGGCTTCTCTTGACTTTAGAGTTTTTCACAGTTTTGGTATTACCATATACTACCATACATTAGGGTATAAAATATTTAATAAGCATATTCATTATCAATGATTCTTATCATTATACTGCAGAAAGGACTTGAGATGGGGTCAGAAGAGGTACAGGAAGATAATTCATCTTGTCACCACCTCTGGCTCTTCCCCACTACCTAGAGTTCCACTGCTTACCCCTTCCCCTTGGGAATCATAGCCTTACATGTGTATGATAGAACAATACTTTCTCAGTGGTGTAAAGAATATTCTAGAGTGGCTTTCACCTACTTAGTGGAAACAAAGCCTCCAGGTATTCTCCTGCCAAAGTCTCTTCTTTCCACCCAAAGTCCTACTTTATATTTAACCTTAACCTGAAGGGAAAGAAATACTTCTCTTATTCTCGTAATATGTGAAGCCCCAAAGTCAAAGTAGAATAAAGGTAAGGAAGGGGATCTGAAGAACTGTAGCACTGGGAATGCTATAAAATGTGGAAAACATAATTTCTTGATAAGACATTTAGGAAACAGAATTGGTTGCTAAATAAATATGTAGGTAGCATTTAATACCACCCAGCCTTTCCCAACAGCAGAAGAAGTGAGACTGTTTTATTACAGGTATCCATAAAGTACATCTAAGATGAATCAGCTTCTTCACTGTAGAAACAGGGAAACTAAAAAATGAATAGCTTTGGCATTGAGATGTGAAGGTTCGCACTCAGCATCTCTGTACCTGAGGGCCATCACCTACCATAGTACTCCCACTTGGATACAGGCGCCACGGCTATTCCACACTTGAACACACCACTTCCTGCTCCCAGCACCATTGAGGTTACGTACCCTCCGTATGACTAAGAAATGGAAACAGTTATTTTTATGGAGGTAAAGGAATTAAGGACATATGGTAGGCAAGTCGCAGTTTCCACATTTCTCACATCTTTATATACTGTGCCTCTTTCGAGATAGAAAGCATGATAGAGGAGGCTTAAATTGGCCTTAATTGGGCAGTATCTAAAGACTACCCGTTCAGAGCCCTGGTCCCTTTTCTTGGTAGGTGTAAGAGGGAAAGTATTGACATTTTGCTGAGTAGTACTAATTAAAAACAAAATGACAAAAACAAAAAAAGTTAAAAAAAAAACAAAAAAGTTAAAAAAAACAAAACAAAAAGGCAATAATCTCTAAGTTTTTACTTTTTTGGACTCCTGAGAAAAAGTGTCTCTCCTTCCCTCTCCCCTTCTCTTTCCTTTTCTTTATCCCTCTTTCTTGCCTCTTCTTCCTTGCTCACCTCCTTTCCCCACTGTAATAAACAAAAGTGTAGGCCTGGGGGGGGCTCATTGCCCAGAAATCTAAGACATTTGGACCTTCTTAGATGGACATGATGGTTGCGATTTACACCTCCAAATATGTACAAACAAAAGTAAATTATCCTGTTTTGGATTATATTCACTAAGGAATACATCAGCCAAAGTACTCACCCAGCCCCAAATTGCAATCCGTTTGTCGTCCACAAATCCCATTTTTGAAAACTGTCTAAAATGCATGGAAGAAGTCCACGAATTAGTATCATACTGTGTATAGAAAACTAAGGTAACTGCACAAATGTGAAACCCTGCCACTTGTTCTCTATTTCATCCTTTTAGAAATTAAGATTAATTGCTGCCAGCAATCAAATAAACACCTGAGATCAATGTCTATCTTTTTAACTTAAGAGCCAGATGAACAAGGTTTACTTGTTTTGGAGTCCATAAAAATTATGTGTGTGTGTGTGTCTGTTGTGTGTGTCTGTATGATTCACAGAAAACAAATCCTGGCTGTTTTTTTCACAGCTGTATATAAAAATTTGCAGCCCAGATGCACTTTTTTTACATAATTGAATTTAAATCTCTCCAGATGTTTTTCAGTTTGAGAGAAGCTGCCCCTGCAAGAGAGAAACATGGGAGCTTGGAGAACATCTGTGCAGGGCTTAGAAATATCCCTGGGCCCCCTACCTGAGAACTTAAACACCATTCTCAAACACATCCTTTCTTATGATGGGTGTTGATTAGTTAACTCAACACTATGAAATATGAAGCAATTCTTCCTTGAAGGATTAAGATGTCATTTTGTCACTAAATTGTATGGTTGGAATCCAGGTAAAGAAAGGAGAAAATATTCTTTGCGTCTATTTCTTAGTCTTAGACTTACATCAAAAGGCAACTGGTTTACTTAAAAAAAAAAAAATCTAGCAAATGGGGCTCTTAACTTGGTAGTATTGAGGGAGGTGGGGGACCCTCACACTGACCTATATGTGACCTTAAGAACCTTTGTTTTCAATTGATGGTATATGTCTTAGACTGCCCTGAGTTAAGCAGTATTAGAAAAAATTCAATGTAAGAAGTTTTCAGCTCATCTTCTCATGTAAACTTTTTAAACTTAGAACACATACATATAGAAACGTGTACCAAATCACAAGTGTACAAGCTCATTAGCCTTTACAGAGTGAGCATACCTTGAAGCAAAAAATGGGGCAATACTATCACCCAGAAGCCTCTGGGTCATTTTTCTCTTTGAAAAAAAAACCTTTTATTGAATCCCAGAAAAATTCCACCTGAATTTGTACCAATATAAATTCAATTGTGGATATAGGATATATACTTTTGTTCCTGGCTTCTTTCACTCAACAGTCTGTGAGATTCATCTGTGTTGTTGTACATAGTTCCTTTGAGTTGCTGAAAAGCAACTACTCATTACTTTTTTTTTTCCATTTATTTTTATTTACTCATTACTTTTTAAACAAAGTTGTATATTGTGGATAACACAATTCTATCGTTTTAGACTTGAGAGGCCCTGGAAGCCATGCCCTTTCTCACAGAATCTGGATAAATAAAGATGAATTTGTAAAATATCAAAGCCTTAGTCTTGAAAACAACTTATGCTCTTATCTAAATCTTTTCTTTATTTATTTTTTACTTTCAAGGAAAATAGCTAATCATTAACTTTGATTTAACAAATTTAGGATTACTTAATAAATTATCTTTTCTCCTTGTTGGTTGTTCCTTTTTTTAAAGGCATTTTATTCCATCCATTTAATCATTCACAATTTTTTTCCATTTCCTAGTTTCTGATTTCACAACGTTATTTAAAATTGTTAATTTATTATGCTTTTCAGACATCTCTGCAGGTGGTTATGGAACCTCAAAGACTACATTTCCCATTTACCAGTTGAATGCAACTGAAAGTAAGTTGAAGGGAAACCCAGATTCAAGACCAGTCTTGGCAAATTATCTAACCTAAGAGCCTCCATTTCTTTACCTGAAGTGTAAGGTCTGAACACTCATCTCTCAGGGTTGCTGTGTAGCTTCAGGGATAAGGCAGGTAAAACACTGCATGTTACATGTGCACGCCAGGGTAACCACCAATTAAGATTAAAATCTTTCTTAAGTCAGACCACATCTATTTATAGCCTCACTTGATGTGATTCATCCTTAAAGGATCCCTTATAACTGAGTGACAATAGTCATATTCTACAACTTTCCCAAATTGGGGGAGGAGTTCTCACTTAGCAGAATGTAGGAACCACTTCTAAGACTTCGTGGTTGTCATCCTACTCTGACATAAATACACCAATCTCCTCTGTTTATCCTCGACTATAGGGGTGGCTTGCTTGTTTAGTTAGATGTTCACTCAGAGGCGCATTTATCCTTGTTTTGTCGATGTGTTTGATGAATTCTGAGTCCCTACTGCTAGAAGATGGTAGCACACATATCAATTCCCTTTCTAAGTCTAAACATAATATTTTCACTAAAAATCTAGCCCAAGGATGAAAGATTCTTCCCACGACACTTGAAACTCTTTATACTTCACAACTTTAAAATATAAATGGGGGGGGGGTGGGGAATTAAATAGCCTTTGAATTCACCTCCTAGTCACTCACCTGGTTGCTTCAATTTGATCATCAACTTCAAATGTTCCCAATCTTCTGTTGATTGCATGCATGATCTTATCTCCTTGGTAACCACTTCCTCTGCCATCAAAGCTAGCTACTACAATATTTTCTGTGCTTGCAAGGTAAGTAGCCCAGTTGAGTCTGAAGATAGCATCTGCTTTTTGACTACAGGGGCCTGCATATCTGTGAAAAATGCCAAATTGTTAGCCTTTGTGGTTTTCCTGAATCAAATGAAAAGGGCTTGAGTTTCTATTCCCCATGGACAAGAGGTGTACATCTTTCCTGTTCATGAGCCTGAAATCGTGCCAGCTGCCAGGGTGTTCTCAATGGGTCGTGTCAAACTTGAGAGTCATGGCAACATGACTATAATGGCTGTGTGTTTCCTCCAAAGATGCCCATCAGTTTTATCTTTGAAGATTGCCATCAAACACAGACTTCACAGGCCAATGTTTACCAAGTTGCATATATCTTAGAAATCAAAGTAAATGCTCTAATAATTAGAATAGGGGAGTTGTATAATGAAAAAATAATGAAGATGACAATAAATGCAGCCTCAAGTATACCTTTCTGACTGAGCTTACAAACACTCTTAGACTACAAGTTTCCTTGATTAGACCTGCCTTAAGGACTCTGACTGCCGTAGGACATGAACTCATTTGCTTCAATAGCCAGCACAGTGCTGTTCACTCAGGCTCCACAAGGCACTGCGGAATGGGCCAAAGTGTGAATGGACACCTCAAAGAAGGGACTTCACCGGTGATCCAGTGGTTAGGACTGTACTCCCAGCAGGAGGCATGGGTTCCATCCCTGGTCAGAGAACTAAGATCCCGCATGCCACATGGTGCAGCCAAAAAAAACACACTTCAAAGGAGAAAGAAATAGACTATTGGAAAGTGGGTTATTGTTGGCATTCTACTTATTAACAAATTTAATCCTCTCATAGCTGCATTCTTCACAGGCTATAACTTATCCATACTTAGCTGTGTATACAGTCTTCATCAAGCCCTCTCATTTCCATTTGTTAATCAAGACATTCCCTCCAGGTCATCAGATCTTGTAAACAGGCCTTCTTTGCATGATCTACAAGAGTCCTGGACACAGATCTTCTCCAGTAACTCTTCCCTTCCCAGCCCATCTCTCCTACTCATCTGTTCACTCTCCCTGTCAACAGGATTGGACAAGACCTGCTTGGGCATCTTTGTTAACATCTTCCTCCCTTTCCCTGGGGATGGCAGTCAAAAGAACTTGTTTTAAGCCAAATATTGTATGACTTTAATTTTGACTCTGATAGGAAAGAATGTGCCTGCAATGTAGGAAATCTGGGTTCCATCCCTGGGTTGGGAAGATCCCCTGGAGAAGGGAATGTCTGCCCACTCCTGTGTTCTTGCCTGGAGAATCCCATGGACAGAGGAGCCTGATGGGCTACAGCCCATGGGGTTGCAAAGAGTTGGACAATTTGATTGATTAACACTTTCACATTTTTTTTCATTGTACAAATTTAATTTTACACTAGATATTGTATCATTCTAAGTTTTAGAAAAAGAAGGCATTCATGAATTTCTTAAGCAAGTAAACATTTTTTTTTAACTTGTGAAATACCCTGGTCCTTTCAATGATATTAAATTTGGTAGAGTTAATAGCTTCCCTTAGTATTAAGTATGTGTCAGGTTAAGTAAACTTGAAGATTAAGCAACATTATTTTTAAAAATAGAAAATAAAGATTCAGACATCTAAGAAAATGAAGAGGAAAATCACTGAAAAGAACTGGGCCTGAATTTACCATGTTTTTTTAAACTTTCCTAATGAAAGGGAGATCTAGTTATTACTTACTAAGGATTTCAAGAAGATAAAAATATCACTTTTTCCTTTTTAAACAAACCCTTATGTCAAAACATTACTTTTTTTAATTGTAAAGGATCTTGTTCAGTACTGGGGCTAAGGCCCCAAGCAAGTGAATGTTACTGTAGTCAAAATTTGACTAAATTAGGTGTAATGAGAATCCAACAGTGTATCTGAAAGTCTAAAATACCTCTTTCTCTTTTTCTGAACTTTTATGTTTGGTTTACATGGAACTGTAAATGCAGGGGAATGTGCTGTATAAAGGGTGTGTCTCATGTTAGTATCTGCATTCCTTCTGTTTTTTTTTTTTTTTTTGCTGGTAACAACTGGAAAGTATCCCCAAGTTTTCAGTTTTCTTTTCTGTATAATGGACCCAATAGAACTGACTACATAGGCTTGTGATGCGGACAAAATAAGGCAAATTACCTGGCATGCAGCAGGCACATAGCACTTGTGTTGGCTTGTTTTGTTTTGAATAAAGGAAATGAGGCAAGCTGGGATAGGAAGAGTGGCACTGTGGCATTATGTGTGAGGTCAGGGCAATTTTGGAGATTGAAGTAAAATGTTTTCCTACTAATTACCAAAAATCCAAAGATACCATATTTAGACCTCATGGGAGCTCACGTTTACTGCTCAAAGACTTGTGATTTCAGAACTTTCTCAAGGACTTGGAGAAGTTTAAATTATATAATGAATACTTTCTCATATCATATCTTCTCTTCACCAAAAAAGGAAATGGAAAATACCAGGCAATGATATTTCAGGAACTACATAAAGAGAAACCTGACACTGGAATGAATTAAAGACCACCAATGAGAGATATTTGGGTAAATTTAGGGATAAGGAAACTGTGAAGACTAGTAATACCCATCTATTGCTTATTAAAATGTCTAAGAGGTAAGGATGAAAATGGGGACTTGAGAATCTCTTTCAAATTCCCTTGTAGTTCAAGGGGGAAAAAAAATCAAAACAAAACCCATATGCCATTATGAGGGAAAAAGAGTCTAGCTTCTCTATTAGAAAGATGGTAGAAAATACAGGCTTGGATCTGTGATTGCAAAATGGAAGAATTATTAAAATTGCTCTATAATAATTCAGGAAGCAAGAAAGGATGCATTTGTCTCTATTTTTCAGTGAGCTACACTGGGTAAACATGTACAATGGTTAACATCTACATTATTCCTTTAGCTTGAATACTTACACTTCTATTAGCAGAGGATATTTCTTGGATTTATCAAAATGAGGGGGCAAGATCATCTGATACCAAAATTCTAAACAAACAGAAAGATTAATTAGTGAATTAAGAACACATTAGCACACGGTTTTGGTTTCTTATCTCTGTCAGTGACAAGTAACATGTAGAGTTTAGCAATTTGTTAAATTATTATAGAAAAAGAAAATGAACCATTTTGATTTAGCATGCTTTTCAGCTATAAAAAATATTCTCTTTCAGGTTAAAATATTAGTTTAAGGTTAAAACAAAGTTGTTTCTAATGGATCTATTAAATACATTGGTGTTTTGTAAAATAAAAGTGCATCTTAGAATTGCTAATGTTTTGTTTTTATGGTTCTGTTCTTTGGCATCTGATCTACTTATCTAGTTTGTTTATGGCTTATGTTCTAAGTTTTCCTCCAAAATGTTTTCCTCTTCTTGAATTTCTTTGAAGATGTTTAGGATTTTTAGTTGGCCTTAACACTATTTTAAAATACTGATTTAATAACACTTTTGTAATTCTTATTGCCATCCCAGGCTGTAAGCTGAGTTCCCATTTTCAGCTCTGTGTTTCACAGAATGAAACTAGGTTTACGTGGGGCAAACTGTTCTGCACGATCTTGTGCAGGTCTGTTTAATTCTCTCCGCTTGATTTAACATCAGTTTAGTAAAATTTGTCCCTAAAAAATAAATTGGTTACCTTTGCTACCAAATTCAGGCTAATTAGTTAGACTAATCTTTAAAAACGAGATACAGAGAGAAAGAGGAGAGTTGTTTCATATTTTAATAAGATTATTTCCAGCTTCAGTAGATTTAACCTACAAGGAAAAAAATCCTTATCTCTAGAGATGTTTCTTCCTTATGTTCACCTTTCTTTTGTATTTTGGTTGTCATAATTATTTTAGCTGAGGAAAAAAAGAAAAGTTTAAGAGTACAATCTTTATATAGGTAGATTTTTCTTTAACTTGTATTTTGCTGGTTATTTTATGCTTTCTGATCAAATGTGCTTATGAGAACTAAAATTTTAGTCTCTTTTATATTTGAGTAGAATGTCAAACTATCAGCTGATCACGATGCTTTTTAAAAATATGTCAGACCCAGTATTTGATCTCTCCTTTGTTTGAATCAACACTAGTTAACTGGAAATGTTTTACTTCCTGTAATTTTTAAGATGAACAGTCTTTTCTCTGGGGGTCACGCCTGAATATTTAATATGTTATATTATAATATTCAATGCCTTCTGTTCCAGGAAGTCCAGTTAGCTCTTCGAAACCCTAAGCCCTTGCCAGTCAAACCAGTTTCAAGGGCCAGCAGCACTAGCATCACGTGGGAGCTTATTACAAGCTTCAATCCTGGGCCCACGCTCACAGGCTGGCTCAAAATGTGCACGTTAATGAGGTCCCAGGTGATCCACAAGCACCTGCAGTTTCAGGAGCACTGCTCTAAGCTCTTCTTCAGAAGCACCCTCCACTCCTATGCTTTTCCTGCCACTTAAAACTGGAGGAGCCGAATGTCTTCTATTATTATCCTTTATTAAAAAACAATCTAAAATAAATCACTCTTGATGGATGCCCCCCCTTCCCTATGAATTATTAGCCCTTAATGGGAAAAAAAAAGCAAATAAAAACAACTACAAAAAAATAATAGGATTTCCTACTCAAAGAAACCCGTTGTTCTTAGTGGTCCCTGAACATAATACATGATCAGGCCATTAGGCCAGGGCCCATCATGGAGAGGAGATTAGGAAAAATTCAAGATTTCTATCCTGGGACTGAAGTTTCAACATTTTACAGCCAAACTTAATTGTTTTACACAAGTCATTTTCAATCTGCTTGGGTTAAAGGTAAAATATATTAGTATTTCAGTGTTAAAAACACAATTAATACTTAATAGTAGAATAAAATTACTAATGGGATGACACTGAACTAGCTAGCAACAGTGCATTTTATCCAAGTATTTTCCATTTAAAATAATACATTTTATGTAGACTATTATATTTTTAGATTAAAAAAATGTAAAACTAGTCATTCTTGTGATAGAACATTTCATGGAAAAATAACATTATAATAGATTTATGTATAAAATACATACTGTCAGATCAATTTACATTTAGTTATAATTTTATTGGTGTTTCCATGAACTGTTACATTCCAAGAGAAATTTCACTTACTTGTTCCATGCAAATGAATGAAGTCCAGTTTCTTTGAGGGCATCTGGACATCCTGCAGCACTTGATCCAAATCTGAATTGTTTTCCAGGACTCTCAGTTCTCAACAAATATTTGAAGCATTTGTTACAATGTGAAGAATTTGGATTGTGCGAAGCAATAAGGAACAAGGGGGTGATTCACTGATGAGACTATACATACTTCATATTTTAAACCTTGTGTTCAAGTCATTGTCAAGACACTCTAAAGCTGAAGAAAATCCCATTATGCTAAGCACATGTTGCTCCTATTCACACACACTTTCCTAAAAAGCAAACCAAGGATAAAATATGAAAATGTTACCTTTATCATTGCTGCTGTTATGCAGAGTATAGAGGGGCAGACCAGGACCTGTTAACATAATCAGGGGAAAAAAAATATTTCAGAGCTTTAAAAAAAAAAAAAAGATACCATACTTTTCAAAAATAGCATTTGTTACCATTTAACTTTGATATAACTTTGACACCATTTAGCTTTGATAGAATGAATATCACAGTGGATAAGAGGCTTATAAGTGTTATCTGATTTTCTTTTTCCACAAAATGAGCGCAATTTGAGTCTAATAAGTATTAATATTACTGGAGAGGCACCAGGCTCTGGAGAATGAAACAGAAATTGCACATCTGGCCCTGCTTAGTGCCTTGCGCACATTATCATGTCTGAGCCCAATTCTTTCTTCTATGAACTAAGCCTTTGAGACCCAGGGTAAGCCACCAGCCTTCCTGGTTCTAACTCGAGGTCCAGAGAGGCCACACCCTCTCTCAGGCCCCGCCCACTAGGGGTGGAGCTCCGGAGACAGGTATCCCCCTACTCAGACTGCACTGCCGCTCCACTTTCCACTTCCCCGCCTTCAAAGGGCAGATTCCCTCCGCTGCTGTCCCCACTATGGAGGACTGGGCCAGGCGGCACATCTGCAGTGTGCCTGACTTGGATAAGCGATTCCTTCCTGGCATGAGAAAGTGTTTTTCTCACATGCTCAGATCTTCACTATTTATCCCAACTGTGGTAGTTGCAGAGTGGAAGGTAATGTATAGAAAAAGCTACTTAGTGAGCTATTTAATTTTGACACATTTGGATCACACTATTTTTACACTTGATCAGAACCACAGTGGAGGCATTCTAAGGACCTGGGATTGAATCCTTGACTTTCCTGCTTTGTGACTTAGGACAGCATACCTATGCTTCAGTCTCTTTATGTATAAAATTAGGACAATCATATCTACATTACAGAGTTTTCTTAAGGATCAAATAAGATTATGAATACAAAACTTGAGCACAGTGCCTAATATACATAAAACATGTGCCCAAAAATGGTTTCTGGAAACAGCCATGGTAAAGAAGTAGGAAGAAAAATAAGATATTAAAGTATGCCAGTACAGAAAGGTTCAGGTAAGGAGACCTCTTTTTGGCAATGGACAGTTCTTGTCAACTTTTCAGAATATCCAAATTTCTTCCTCTCACTTTAAGAAGTAAACTAGTGTTTAATGGCAGAGGCCTGTATCTAAATCCTCTTGTGCTTCTTATGAGCTGCATGACCTGTGAAATCACATTACCTCTCTTTGTCCAGATTTCTTCATTTTTAATAAAGAAAAGAATAATAACAATAGTTACAGAAGATGAAGCTGTGAGCAGGCTGAATCACAGGACCCACCTTACGTACCTTTTTCTCATTTAAAGGGGCAAGTGCATACAATTAAAATTTGCATTAAAAATGCATACTAGGTGTATATATAAGGATGAAAAGTGCCTCTGTCACACATAAGCTCTGGGTATGTGTGCTTTCAGTCTAAAAGCAAGCCTCTTGGTTAGAAGGGGAAAGAAAGATGGCTAACTCACCACTTACCTGTTGAGTGGAAAGGGAAAAGGACTCATGTAATTTCAAGCATTCAGATTCAATAGTAGAGAAGTGATCAAGGCAGAAAAAATATTTCCTAAACTGGACACTGAAAAGGAGGTTTCAGGGATGGAGATGCTAAGCCAGGAGGGTGGTGAGAAGGTTGTCCAGAGAGGGGAGGGGATGGAGGGAATGACTTGAGAGGGACTTTGTGGGTACCCCCTGCTCAATTCAAACTTACCAGAACATCTCAGCTGATAGTACTTTGCATCTTGACTGAACGATACAGAGTAATACTGACACCTGTCTGGATTCAGCTCACAACTGAGGCACATCACTTTTGTGTAGTCATGAAGTTGGATTCTATAAAACCAATGGTGGAAATTAAGCACTTGATAAAGGGATAAATGAAAGAAGGAATTAAAGAATGCCATGTACTAGTTTCAAAGATACCAGAATGCCAAGAAATACTCATGAAATTAATGAGTTAATATGCAATAAATGAAGGATTTAATCCATAATAACCTCAAACATTCCATTGTTTGCAAATATCACAAAGCATGTAATAAAGTCATGCTCTTTTGATGACATATGGGTTGGTTTATAGAGGAATAAAAGCATTCAGTAGGCGTTCCAATTTAATATATTAGCATTAGGCAAAAAAATAAAATAAAAAATGAAAACATAAAAGCCAGAAATTGTTCATTAGCTAAAAGCTCGTTAACACTTTGATAAAATTCTTACTTATAAAGATTTCTTCCACCTGGCATTCCTTTATATTCATTACTAATGTAGTATCTGGGGAGAAAACAAATGAAATGTATTAATTATGTTTTACAGAAAAAGTCAAGTATACTCCCTTTAACTCAACAACCAGCATTAGTGTTCATACAAGTGCATGTGTATTAGTGCTTGCCCAACTTTTATCATTTTTCCCTGCCCCTTTATTTCTCAGAAATAGGGGCATCATCTCTATAAATAGAGGATTCTTTTTTTTTTTAAACAGGCTAAAATATCTGAATATGAGGATTACTCCCTTAGTTAAAATGACAAGTAAAAACTCAAAAAAGTCTTCTTTCAGAAAAATATGACTGGACAGCTAGTCTGAAGTTGAAGCCTGATTTATCTATGTGGTGGTGCTTTAGTTACCACATTGTGTCCGACTCTTGCAACCCCATGGACTGCAGCCTGCCAGGCTCCTCTGTTCATGGGATTTCCCAGGCAAAAATGCTGGAGTGGGTTGCCATTTCCTTCTCCGGGGGATTTTCCCAACCCAGGGATTGAACCCAGGTCTCCTGCATTGCAGGCAGATTCTTTACCGACCAGGGAAGCCCCCATTTATCTGAACTGTTTTCCATATTCTCTGTTTCATAACACAGACCACTCAGTGGCAGGTGCCCCATCCTTCTGAGACTGGCAGAGCCACTTTTAAACAGGACCTTCAAAAACTGCTTTGAGCAATGGCAAAACTCCTCTGTGGTGAAACTGATACAGAATTATAAAAGTGCCTCAGGTTCTAATGAAAAACAACACTCCCTGTCCCACCATTTTGTGCACGGTCATTGACAACCTCCACAAAGCTTTCCATTTGCCACAGGTTAAGGCTGAGACAGATACGGTAGCCTCTCCAAGCCTTCTAAACATACAGTGTCACCTGAAATCTATCAAAATGCCCCAGAATAGTTCAGTGTTCCAAAACGTTTAAGAAAAAGAGGCTGCAGCATCTCTAATGTAAAGCAGGTAAGAGCAAGAGGTAGTGCTGGTTGGTGGCATGGTATCAAGTCTGCTGAGCATATGTGAAAATCATTAAGGCTTCCGTATGTTTGAAAGAAAAAAGTCCTGAACACATTCCAAATAGACTACTCTTTATTTGCAGAAGATTTTTTCCTTATTTCTGGGCAAAGGAGGGCGTGATTCTGACAAATACATCGACATCCTACTGATGATTAGAATACTTACAGATAATCACTGGTAAGAGCTTCTATCCCAATGACCTCCCAGGCTCCTTTTGTAATAAATGTGCAACTCTGATGGGATTTAAAAAAAAAAGAGGTTTATTAGACTCTCTCTCTGATCAAAGTTAAGGGGAGGATTAAATAATTTATATCAGGAATTCAGGTAATCTCAGGTCTTTTTCTTGGGTCTCCCCACCCCATCCTACCTTACTCCAGATGCCACCGGGGTATCTGAATTAGTCTGATTATTTGTACATAGTGATCGACTTTACCACATGATTTTCACTTCAAATTAGTTTCCCAAAAAAAGGAGATCAACCCAAAATAAATCGTGTAAAAATACTCACTCTCTTATCTATTTGGAAGTGACAAATGTGTTTGTAACCCTCTTCGTTGCTAATGATCTTGTAGAAGCTATTCCCGTCAGAGGTAAAATGAGGCTCTGCAGGCCTAAACTAGAAAATAATAGGAAACATGAAACATGTTAAAGCACATTAGTCTTAGCTCAGTACCAGTTTTAGTTTCAGAAAGTCCTTCCAACACCTATGCTCAAAACCCATGATTCATTTACTTGCCAAATTCAATCAGAGGGTCTCAAGAGAAAATTCTCCCAGAAAATGCAGACAAAAGATCTAACTCCTAAGGGCTCTCTGGCGGGGAGCAAATGAAAGAATGGGCTTCCCAGGTGGCACCAGTGGTAAAGAACCTGCCTACCGATTCAGGAGATGTAAGAGATGCAGGTTCGATCCCTGGGTTGGGAAGATCCCCTAGAGGAGGGCATGGCAACCCACTCCAGTATCCTTGCCTGGAGAACCCTAGGGATAGAGGAGCTTGGCGGGCTATGGTCCATAGGGTCACAGAGTCGGATGTGACTGAAGTGGCTTAATATGCATGCATGCAAATGAAAGAATGTAGGGAGGATTACACATGACATTCAACACATAGCAGTGGTCATTGTTACCGTTAGGCATCTTCTGTTTGTGGAGAATAATGCTATGATGTCTTGATACAAGCGTGAAAAAAATAGCATCAGTCTTTCAGTTCTATTAAGTAAATTTCCTCCATGTCACAACGTGCTTTGTTGAAACAGACTAATATTATTTTTGACTGTTTCTGGTTGGAGAGTGGTTTGTAATTTGAGGGATACCCCGCCCCCAACCCTGTTTCTTATACATCATTTTTTTGAAAGTCAGACTTAGAAACTCTTTAATCATTTCTGGACTAGATACCATAAGGAATGTCTGTCGTATATTTCAAACAGAAACATTCATATAGTTATCATTTTTATTATAAGCCTTCTCATTTTGCTAAATAGGATCAACAATTTACCCAAAAAAATAGTTGTATGGAAATATAGGACAAAATTTCCATTTTCTACAGTTTGATAAAAGATAGTTTTCAGAACATAATGTCGTTGAAGCAGAAGAGGGTCTCTCCCAGCCTGATAAGAATATGTCTCTTTTCGACTTCGATTTCCTTACTACATTTGAGAGCAGGTAGAAGATGGTCTTTTAAAATTGTTGGTTCACTTCACCCTCGCTGTTTCCTCTCTCATCAGCTCCCATTTTGGGAAGGAAGAAAAATGCTTCTCTCTTCTATTTAGTGATTCAAAGTGAATTCATTTATGGAGCAAGCCGAGGCGTGCAATACACTTGGTGTTCTCATTACAGAGCTCGGAAACACATTCCCCTCTCTAGACCTGTGTTCACAGCCTTATCTTTTTAATACATTTCCCTGTTTCCCCTGGATGGAGTTGTGCCTAGTAGAAATGTGTGAAAAGTGGCATCTGTCTGGTTAAATACAGAGAGGAAAAAACATATTTTTTTCAAAGAGTCGTGAGGAAGTGTAGCATGTCTCTTGCCATGGAGGAAACCACTTTTCATGTTGGCAAACCTCTCCCCTCTGCCCAATCAATGCCTGAACAAAAAGGACGTGTGAATGTTCGGGGGCAGGGGCTCTGAGCCCAGCTGGAAGGGCTGTGTTCCTGGACCAGGGGGCCTCACCTCTGTGGTCTAAGGGAGAAGAAATTTTTATGTTTTTTAATGTCACTTTGTTTCTCTCATAAAGGGGCTGAACAGAAGTGGTTGTAAAAATTAGGTGTGATTCAATCTTCCTCTTTCACACTGCCACAGTGGCTGGAGCGCCTTCAGCAGTTCGCTTCACTCCATGGTCTTGTAGCAACGTGGCCAGTGAGCCCCCACCAAGGCATTGTGTGAGGCAGGGGACCTCACTGAGGGCCCCTGCTTTCTTGGATAAAGTTCTGCCTCAGGGTATAATAAACTATGAACCCACATATGATTCGTCCAAAGAGAGCAGCAGAGCGGGTGAGGTGTGTATGCCACCTCGATTCAGCAATAGGTAGTTGTGTCTCCTGCATTTGTGCAGGCTGTGGGCAAAAACCGTGTTTTCTGCCTCCAAAGTACCTAACTTCAAATATGAGGTCAATAAGGACATTTGGTATCTTGGCTGCCTCTCAGCAACTGTTGTTTTTTAACTTTCTGGGAGCTAGAAATTTGCCTAGAGTATGTCTTTTGTTTTATCTGCTGTTCTCTTGAATTTTCAGTTGTCCTTTTACTTTTTTCCAACTGAACATGTTATATATGCTCTATAAAAAGGTCTCTCTAGAGGGAGCATTTAAATATTATGAGGAAAAGGTCAACTAATATCTCTATTAATAACAAATAACATAGAGCCCTTGTTTGTTATATCTGCATATGAAATAGCTCTGAGTATCTGATCCACAGAAGAGAAAAATCCATAATTTTTACAACTTACTCTTCCAACCCAGCCAGTGGTACTTATTTCAATGTGTTGCCGTTCCTAGGGAGGGAAAAATAGAGAAATGAGATATGAATTCTATCTTTAGCTGCAATTGGTGGCAATAAGATTTATTGTACTTAAACGAAAACTATCTCTATTCACATATTTATATTTATGTTAGTACCTTTTGCATAACTACATTAGAACATTTACCTCTCTTGCCTAGAGCTCTGTCCTGGGAGTGTAACTCGTATGTCATCCCTAAAACTCATCTAGCATTTTCAATTCAGTGAGTACAGAACTGAAGATTACCTCATCTTTCCTCCATCCCCACCAGCTTGTTCTTACTCCTTTATTCTTCTCCAAGTTAATGGCACCATTTACCCAAACCAGAGACCTGGAGTCATTCCAGCCTCCCCCTCTTCTCACAGGAGCCTCCTTAGCCCCTGTCTTCTGGTTTTTTTGACTTCTTTTGCCCTTCTCCACTGCTACTGCCTTAGTTTGTGTCCGTCGGGTTTCCCAGGTCCATCGCTCTGATCTCCAGGTTGTAGACTCTGCTGTTCTGTTCTCCTTCCAATCTGCTTTCCACTCCACTAAACCCGCAGCTGACTTCATCAGGCAACAGATGGTTCTATCTCATTATGATCCTCTCCTATTTAAAACCTTGAAGTAAGCTCCCTGTGTCTTACAGGGTAAGGCCAAGCCCCTCAGAATGGTACCCGAGCCTTAGCCTATATCTCAAACCTCAGCAACATTGCAGCTCTCCCTCAACCCCTAGTCCTGTGTATTCCCAGCCCCCGTGGGCTCCAAGCTGTTCACCTCAGATGCCTTTGCACAGCTTCCGCTCACAGGGTCCACATGCCATCCTGTGTCCTGCATATGGCAGCTTACTCCAGGCTGCTCTTGTCTCCTCTGTGTCGCCTCCCACCCTCCTCTGCCTGTCCCTAATCAAGTTGATTATATCTTTTGCCCTAGATTTCCTTTGTACCTTGCATATACACTTTTAGAGCACACTATCCTGATATTGGGATGATTTAATTGACAGGAAGCAAAGAGTTTGGTTTTATAGTTTAGATTCTGACTGGCGTTGTGACCTAAGCAAGCTCCTTACCGTTACTGAGCCTGTTTCTGCAGTGTCTGGCTACTGTGAGTGTTCACAGTAATGGTAATTATTATTGGTCTTCGTAACAATATTCCCTACTAGAAAACAGACATTTTGGGGACAGGCATGCTACCTAATATTTTTTTTTCCACCCAGAGCCATGCATAGAACTTGGAACAAAATAGATATTCAATGATTGCTATATACATGTGAATGAGTGGATCAAGATATAGGGCCCAAGATTTCTGAGGCAACTCTGCCCTGGGCCTAACTAGAGTGAAGCAGAGAGAGGAGGTGTGTAGGCACAAGCCCATTACCAGAAAAGGGCTCACAGAGGTGTCCTTGGTATAGGCCAGAAAACCTCCCCCAGACTTTCCCCTCCTGAGGCTGTTGATACCTAAGGGGCTTTAAATTTGATCCAAGAGCTGAACCTTGTGGTCTCTGGGCTGGAAAGGCCCCCAGCACTTCAAGGTTGGATTAACACTTGCCTTAATGTTGAAACCCTGTCAGCCTAGAAGTCATCTATTTACTTTCTAAAGCTAAGTTTACTGCTGAAAAGTAGTCAGAGTCATAGGGTGGTTATTAATAATAGGTTTGTGGCCTCTTGATACTTGTTTTGTCTCTTGAACATAGATTCAGCAAGTTACTCTGCACACTCTGTTTGCTCTATTAAAACATGTTTCCTTGACCTTGCAGCCCATGGTTTTCTCGGACTTTGTGAATTTTGACATCAAGTTCCATTTTCTGGTTTCCCAGCCACCACCCATATCCCAAGTGATAGTCCCCATACCTAAAACAGAGTAGTGAGAGAAAGTGAAATAGAAGTGCCACCAGGTTATCAAAGTGTCTAAAAGTCAATCAAGACTTCTTCACTGCCTCAGGGTCAGACACAGAGAAAGAACAGAAACTCAGACTGTATTTCCCGATAGCATTCTTCCTGTTTTCATACAGCCCTCAGATCACATGGAGCTTTGGAAGCAGAATATCCCAGTTCAGCCTTACCACTGCGGAAATCCATCTTCCCGTGGACCTGTCATAGTCACAGATATCCATGATCGAATAGTTCTGAATCCTGCGGAGCCACTGCAAAGAAATCCTTTCTTCTGTTACCCATGTCACGCCACACAAGTAGTGATCCCTGAAAGGAGAGAAGGAAGGAAGGACAGAAGGATGGAACGAAGGGAGGGAGGAAAGAAGGCAGGGTGGGGAGGCAAGAAGGGAGGGTGGGGAGGAAAGAGAGAGAGAGAGAGAAACTATTTCCAGACCTTGGTACAAATAGACATTTTGCTCGATGAAATCAATCTTCATGGGAATACAATTTTCAATAGTTGTTGAAACCATTTAACACCAGAGCATTTTACCCTTTCTTAAAGCACAAAGTGAAACTTAAATCTGAATGGAAATGAAAATATATCTGACAGGAAGAAGCAGCTAACATCTCACAGGGTAGCATATGTGACTCACACCATGACTAAGGACTTTGCAAGTCCTCAACTGGCCTTTGGTGGTGCTGGGGTATCAAGAGGGACCTTTTCCTATCTCTTTTCTGCTGTCTTGAAGGAGCATTACAGTGAAGCCAGAAACTCTGGCTAAGATTTGAGTCTTTTCTGAAGATTTGGTGTGCTTCTCTAGAAAATTCCTGCTGGTAGGTAGAAAGTACAGCTGACCCTTTTCTCTTAACTTCATTTTCAAAGCGGGGAGAAAAATGGACTCCTATCTCTGCAAACTTTGAAAATCAAATCATTGTATCATACTAATCTTTTCTCAAGTGTCATAATATGAATCATGTGAAGAAATTAAGGAAACTTTTGTTATTTTAGTATAAATTCATACAAATAGAGATATCTCAAGCAGTGCAGCCTCCTCCAACACATACCTTTAAGAATTTTTGGAATATCATTTTGAGTGATAGTGAGATGCATGGAATTCATAATTTACCTTTCTGCTAGCCTCCCTAAATATTTGCTTTGGATAATTTATGTTATTCCATTTGCTTCCCACACCCTTGTGTGATTTTGTATGACTGTTCTTAAATCACTCTCGTCAAGTATCTCATAAAAACCTTGTTTCCTTTTGTCGCAAGGATTCCAAAGGAATCTTTTCTTCCAGCCCCTTCCCATCTGACCCTACGGCCATATCTGTTCCCCCTAAAACGGTCCTTCTTTACTTCGCAGGCTGTCCCTGTCCCCTCCTCTTATTACTGGGCTCTCTCCTCTGCTTAACTGCAAACTCTCTGAGGGTTCACAGGGTATCTCCAGGGCCTTCCTGGCACAAAACAGGCACTCACTAAAATTCTGTGGAATGTGGCACTGAACAGATGGGGTAATCCTGTCCCATCCTTGTGACCTAAATAGCTCTGTCCTTCCTCAGAATTAATCATCACTTCCAGTCTCCGCTCCCTTCACAGACACTAACTCAAACAACAAACATTTGTCAAGCACTTAGGATGGACCAGGTGTTAGATAAAGCACTTTAAATCCTTCACCCTTATGGCGCGGAACACTCACTGTGTTAATGTGCCCAGTGGTACCCGGGCCTCCAGGCTGTCCCCGCTGCAGGGGGCAGGCGCTGGAAGAAGACTAGCGCGCATCCCCCAGCAGCACCACACTCACACGGAGGCTCCCCTCTACTTCAGTCCTTTCTCTCACTTACTAAGAACTGCACCCTTTTCCAGTCTGCACGGCTGGTGGGCCGTGAGCACCCTATGAGGTTTCCCGGCTTTGTCAACCTGCCCTTCAGTCTGAAACGATAGATATGCTTGAACTTCCTTAGCTGTTGCTGTTGTTCAGTCGTGTCCGACTCTTTTGTGACCCCCATGAACTGTAGCCCACCAGGCTCCCCTGTCCATGGGATTCTCCAGGCAAGAATACTGGAGTGGGTTGCCATTTCCTTCACCAGGGAATCATCTGACGCAGGGATCGAAGTCACGTCTCCTGAACTGGCAGGCAACTGCTTTACCACTGAGCCACCAGGGAAACCCCTCGGGGTCTTCTTAAATATCCCCTGCCCATGAAGCTTTTTTGAAGACCTTTCCTTCCACATGGCTATCACAGTCTTGTGCCATGTATCCAAACCCCCAGGCCGCAGAGTCTGAGAAGCTGAATGCTGCTTCCGCTGACCCAGGAGTGAGGGCATCTCATCAAACTCTACTGTGCTGAGCCCAAGGCAGAGGAGTTAAATGAGAAAATGGAAAGGCAAATCTATCTTCCTGGGGGTAGGGAATAAATACTTGTAAAGGGAATGGAAGAATGAGGCGCAAGATAGAAAACAAAAATTTTTGAAATTAACTTTCTAGACCAGGGGTCAGAAAACTTTTTCAGGAAGGGGCCAGCCAGTAAATATTTCCAAGTTTGAGGGCTACAAGCTCTATGTCACAATGGCTCAGCTCTGCCTTGGCAGCAGAAAGCAGCCAGAGACAATATGTAAGGGATGAGTGTAGGTGTGTGCCAACAAGGAGCGGCTGAGATGTGGAGTTCATGTAAATTTCACGTGTCAGGAAGTATTATTCTTCTAATCGTTTTTCTTCCAACCATTCAAAAATGTGAAAACCATTCTTACTTGTGGGATCATCCAAAAATGGGTGGGGGCTGGATTAGGCCGGCAGGCCCCGGGGGTGCTAGCCCTGGTTCTGTACCAGTAATTTTTACTGTTTTAAGTCAAAACCCCTTTGCAAACTGGATGAAAATCATGTACCTCTCTCTAGAGAGAAAAAGCTTCCCCACACACATGCACACATTTTCCAGGGGTTCCATGGGCATCAATAAGGATGGTGGACTCCAGAAATAAACAGCCTTCCTCTTTTCCAAAGTGGCCTGGTAGGAGGAAGGGGCAGGTGAGGTGGAAGAAAACCCTTTAACATGATTAGTGGGTCTCCTGGTACTATAAATTTATCTACTGAAAGCCATAAATTATGCTTCAGGTTCAGCAATCAGACATACAAAAACTTTTTTCCATTTGAAAACATTGAGCAACAGAATTTGGGAAGTCTGCCAGGAAACTCACATGCATCTGGCATCTTCCCTGCCTGTTTCTAGATCAAAGGTTCCTGAACCTGTCTCTTCAACTGCCTTTGTCACTCTCCATAGCCCAAGATGTACTCTGTACCCTGTGAGGGCTCCATAAATGTGGGTCACAAGTGGAACGGACCGTAAATTCTGAATTCACCTATAAACACACTTCTCTTTAATCACGGTTTCTCTTTAGGATTTGGAATTGAGGGGAGACGGAATGAAGGTGCATAATCCACCCCTGATCTGTGATCTTGCCTGGACAGGATGTCAGTGAGTCATGAAAAAGACATAAGGAAACCAATGGCTTAATTGTACTTTTTACAGGAAGATTTAAGTTCCCCGCTCAAGGTCAGAAGAATCCAACAAGCGGGATCATCAACTGCACTTTGCCCTTGGTGCCAATTGCATTCTGTAAAAACAGGCTGGTCATAGTGGCTGGGGGAGGGGTGGAAGAGTGACCAGGCACTGGACAGGCAGCCCGGTATCCCCATGAGCTGCTGACTGCCTGTCCCAGGTTAGAAATGGTGATTCAACCAGGACTTCTTGAACAGAATTAGTCTAAGAGGAAAACGGTTGAGTTTAGTAGTAAAGCAGTGAAGTAATTCCTGGACACAAGGAGAGTTCAAACCCATGTGGAGTCCACTCTGTGCCAGGAACTGGTCTAAGTGCTGACATAAAACTCATGACCACCTTATGAGGGAGGAACGTCAGAGTTCTTGTTTTGCAGACAAATAAACAGAAGCATAGAGAGGTTAGGTAATTCATCCAAGGTCATCCGCTGGACAGGACTGGAGTCAGGATTAAAAATAAGCAGTTGGCTTCAGATTTCCTGCTCCTTGTCATTCCCTCAACAGACCCTCCACCCATCCCTCTGGTAAACATTGCTGGTTTGTTTCACTCTCTTAATTCTTTTCTGGATAAAACTCCTCACTCTATGAAATTTAGTTATTCCTCGAGAGTGAGTATAGATGGAATAACCGAATATTGCAAAGAAAATCCTATTTAAATGTGTAAGGAGAGACTTGCCTTTGAAAGCACATGACAGGGAATCCTTTTGTAAAGTGGCTGTTGCCTTTCAAAGAGGAAGCATGTAATAAATGTCTGTTGTGTGATATTAATTCCCCTAATTTGTGTAAATGTTTCTTTTGGTATGTTAAACATACTTAAAATAAAGTACTTATTATTAACTGGAAAGAATATTGGAAAGAATACCACTTCTAAGAGCAAAGACCCTGATACTGGGAAAGATTGAGGGCAGGAGGAGAAGGCGACCACAGAGGATGAGATGGTTGGATGACATCACTGACTTAATGGACATGAGTTTGAACAAGCTCTGGGAGATGATGAGGGACAGGGAAGCCTAGTGTGCTTCAGTCCATGAGGTTGCAAAGAGTATGACACGACTTAGTGACTGAACAACAACACTAAAAGCAACTGTAGGTGGTGGAGTGATTAATTCACTGGATCACTGAAGCGGGCATCCTGCCAGCGCTAGCCACAGGTTCCATGCCCCCCTCTGCTCTGACAGCAATGCCAGCCCTCCCAGGTCCACTGACAGATTGCTGAGGACCAGAATGATGGAGGTGAGATGGAGCAGAGCCGAGGGATGCAGAGCCCAAGGCATGTGAACTCCTAAAGTGCCTCCTTTCTTGCATACCTTGCAGCATATTTCAGTCCAGTTCACTGACCTCCAGAGTGAAAATCTTAGACCCTAAAGGTCCCCACTTTATAGAACAAGGGTCATCAGCTGTTCAGAGGAGACATAAAAAGGCTTTATCTACTGTGTCCTTCCAGAGCAGAGAGAATGGAGTGGGGCTGGTCACAAGCTGGGTGTTTTGGGGCCCAAGAGTCATTGAGCAGTAAAATAGGCCATCCCTAATCCTCTAGTTTCAGGTCACAGAATTTTCAGAGGGCTGGGAGGAGACAGAAAGGAGGGATTGCCATGCAAGTTTATTGTGAAGGCCATCTTTTCGCACTGGCTGTATAAACTCCTATCCCCCCAAGACAAAGTCACCTCAACCATCCATCTATACATGAACTTATCTATTCACTTATTCTACATGTATTGATTAGGCACTTGCTATGTCCCAGGCACCCTTCAAGGTACAGTCCTGCGGACCGTAACCTGCCAGGCTCCTCTGTCCATGGGATTCACCAGGCATGAATACTGTAGTGGGTTGCCATGCCCTCCTCCAGGGAATCGAACTCACATCTCTTATGTCTCCTGCATTGGCAGGCAGGTTCTTTACCACTAGCACCACCCGGGAAGCTCCCCTTCAAGGTGCTGGAGATATTATTGTAGGATTGGCCCAACCCTTACCTATAAACTTGTCCTGTTTCAATCCAGTCATGTGAAGCACTTCTCTAAGTAAAAGTTAGGAGACTTATGATTTTACATCATCTGCTATTTTCTCCCAAATATTTTGAGCTCTCAAGTTTCCAACATAGGACTTCCCTGGTGGTGCAGATCTGCCTGTCAGTGCAGGGGACTCGGGTTTGATTCTCTGGTCTGGGGAGATCCCACATGCAGGGGAGCAACTAAGCCCATGCACAACTACGGAGCCTGTGCTCAGCAACAAGAGAAACCACCGCACACCACTACCAAGAGGAGACCCCACTTGCCGCAACACTGAACAAAGATCCAGCACAATCAAAGATAAATAAATAAATAAGAAATAAAGAAAAAAAAACTCCCAACATAGGCAGTCAATGCAAATGAACAGTTTAATCTGATCAACTTGAACTTTTAATTCATTGAGGGCAGCCACTGCAGGAGTGGCTGGTTCTCACTGGTTGTCAGAGGAGCCCCGTCTAACAAACGAGCCTTATCTTCCTGTAGGATTTCAGCTGCTGGGAGCTCTATGATGAAAGGACAAGGCCTAGAGAGAAACTCAGTGATGGGTGTGGGCAGAGGGGGGCCTCACTCTGGGAGTGAGTGAATTACCATGTGACACCATAGAGGCGGCGAGGCAGCTGAAGAGGCAAAAGCTGCCTGGATGAACTTGACCCTGCTGATCTTCCCAGGAGGCCAGAAAATGGAGCATCACTGTGTACTAGAACATTTTTCACCAGAGGGGACCTCAAGCCTGGTTTTAGAAAAGCTGCAGCTGTACTGATGCTAACAGAGACCAGAGCTGGATTTGCAATTTCATACACAACACAGTCCGGTGGCATTTCCAAAAACACTTCTTTGGTTGAAATACATTCCACAGAAAATACCCACAGTGAGTGAGGCAGCCCTCACCGTGAGAGCAGCATAGAGAACTATGAAGAACAGAGACTTAAGGATTCATTCATACAGGGTGAAAAACAAATCCTTAAACGGCTTAAGTTTCCTGAGCTCTGAAATTCACAAGTAGGCCTTAGAAAGTGATTTCTAAATGGGGAAATGCCATCCCGTCATCTGGGAAATAGCCATGAAAATGATACCATAGACAGCAGCACATGGGTAATAAATGAGACAATGTGAGCAGAGCACCCAGCACAATCCCCGCCCAGTACATCTTAATTACATTATTGACTGGCTGGCAGACGGGGGCCTCTGTCCTATCCCCAGCTCCCAAGCTAACTTGCTATGTGACCTTGAGCAAACGTATTTACCTCTTTCGGCCTCAGATCTCTCATCTGTGCCTTACACTGGTATTCTGAGTGTCTCTGGAGCAATGATAGGCTCTGCTATTCTGAGACTCCTAGGGGAAGGAGAGGGTACGGGGACTGGGCCTGTAACCCAAGCAGCTGCCTGCCATTTGCTTCTTGGCACAATGCCTCTGTGTTTTATCTCACTTGCACCAAGGTTGCTGGGTCCTTAAAACCATCTCTAAGGTCCAAAGCCCCCTCCTGGGCAGTCCTGAGCTTTCACATGCTCAGCCATCCTACTCCAACGCTCTTCCTCCTCATCATGCCCTGTCCAATCTGCTCATTCTCCAAGATGCTTTCTTTGATCCCCAGGGGTCATGGAAAACACATCTCCGCCTCCACAGAGTGCCTCCTGACTTTTGTTTATGCCTCTGTCACAGGCGTTCGGGGAGTCATTTATTGACATGGTTTATATCCTCCACCCCATCATAAGTGTTGGAAGGCAGACTCACTCCTATGACATCCATGAGTGTAAACAGTGAGTGCTTAATCAATGTTGATGGGAGAGATGGCTGGAGGGGATCAAACAGCAGATTTTAGAACCTCCAGGTAAATTTATATATCCTTGGACAAATTCAGGGGAAAAAAAGCATTTTAATTGATAATTAACTTTCCCTCAGAATAAATAGGTTAATACAGATCTTTTCTAAGCAAGTGAATGAATTAATAACAATAGAGCAAAGCCTCCAGCTTGCCTGCTGTAGTCAATGCAACCCTGAACAGGAAGATGCTTTCGTATTGCTCTGATAATAACTTCAGGCATCTGAGGACACCAGCTGAATCCACACAGAGGGAGAGGCACCTCGCAGAGTGCTTACAAGGTCTTTCTTTCAAGTCAGAAAGATTTGAATACAGACTCCTACTGGGTCATTTTCTAACCTCTAGACCTCATTTTCTTATCTGTATCTGGCATATAATAATAACTACTGGAGGACTTCCCTGGTGGCTCAGTGGTAAAGAACCCACCTGCCAATGCAGGAGACACAGGTTCAATCACTGGTCTGGGAAGATCCCACATGCCATGGAGCAGCTAAACTTGAGCACCACAACTATTGAGTTTGTGCTCTAGAAACTACAAGCCTCAATTTCCAAGCTGTTGGGCTGCAACTACCGAAGCCTGAGCACCTATGGAGCCTGTGCTCCGCAACAAGAGAAGTTACTGAAATGAGAAGCCCAAGCACTGCAACTAGAGACTAGACCCCGCTCGCTGCAACTGGAGAAAAAGCCTGTGCACAACAACAAAGACACAGCACAGCCAAAAATAAATAAATAAATAAAATTTAAAAATAATAATTATTATTATCGGAAAGAATTACTTAAAGACTAATAAAATAAAGCATGTAATGCTCTGTGTCTGGTACTTAGAGAGTGTTCAACAGATGCTAGTCATCATTTAGAAGCAATGACAAAACCAACATAAGTAATGGAAAATAGACAGCAACCTGATAGCCAAAAGTGTCATGCAATTTAGTGTTTATAGGAAAATAATGGAAAGGCAGAGAATTTCAATGGAGAAGGCAATGGCAACCCACTCCAGTACTCTTGCCTATCCCATGGACGGAGGAGCCTGGTAGTCTGCAGTCCATGGGGTTGTGAAGGATCAAACACAACTGAGCAACTTCACTTTCACTTTTCACTTTCATGCACTGGAGAAGGAAATGGCAACCCACTCCAGTGTTCTTGCCTGGAGAATCCCAGGGACGGCGGAGCCTGGTGGGCTGCCGTCTGTGGGGTTGCATAGAGTCAGACACGACTGAAGTGACTTATCAACAGCAGCAGCAGAGAATTTCAAACCACCAAGGATTATTCAAGCAAGTGACATCTTGAGACACATCAGTATCACGGGGTGGTGGTGGTCCCTAAAATTAATCCACAGTTTCTCTGAATTTGCCTAGGTCTTACCAGGCCCTGCAAAGACTCATGTGACCTGACCCTCCCATTCTCCCCTCTCTACTCAGGTGCTCTGGAATCTGTGGCTCCTTGCAAGGGCCTCCTTGGTACCATGCATGCTCCCTCTGTAGGGACTTTGCACCTGCTCTTCCTCTGCTTGGCTACTGCTCCCCCAACTCTCCATGTGCCAGGATCTCCCCCTCTTCCTTCACATCACTTCTCACAGGCATCTTATTAGAGAGATCTTCCCTGACCTCCCCCCACCATCACCATCACATCTGCCCTCCTTTGACTGTCTTCACATTTCACTGCCTCACATGGTGTAACCTTATTTGTTTACTTGGTTGTTTGTCTCCCCCGCCTTGAGTGTAGGCTCCACGATACCAGAGACTCTGACTGCTCTATTCATTCTGCAAGCCCACCCCTAGAGCCCTGTCCAGCATGAAGACATGAAGTTTGTACTCAGTGAAGAGTGTGTAGGGCCAGGCCACCCAAGATGGCTGTTCTCTTGCTCTCTGTACATCTCCTGCAGGACCAGAGCCTGCTCCACGTACACCCTACTCACCTGACTGACATTCCTACCTACTTGCTCCAAGTGCCAGCTAGTGATTGTTCTTATCAAAGGGGTAGTGAGGGGCATGCCCCTCTGCTGGTTTCCATGGTAACTAATAAGCCAAGCTGACACAATTCCTCCTATAACTGGCAGTCTCCCCTTCCTCTCTGGGAGCAAAGCCTGCTGCCACGTCCTGTCATGTCACAGGAGCACATGTTGAGATGTTGCTCCAGGACCTTGCTTCAGACATGTAGATCTCCCATCCATTAAACCACTGCTGTCTCTGTTGCTGACACTGGGCTCTGTCCTTGTTCTTAAATGTGGGCAATGCAGGCCTTGTAGGCCTATGGGGTAGAGCCCAACAGAATAGTTGAATGGAAGAATGAATGATGGGCCAGGCCAAGTGACACCATGAGATGCTGCCATTGATTCTGTCATTCATTTTGAAAGTGTTCTCCCTGAGAACTGTGGAATTGTTTACAGCATGAGCATTTGGGTCAAGAGTCTTACCCTATTAACACAGAACCAGGAGGAACAATTTGTTTGGAAGTTGCACTAACGTTCGGGCTGAGACTGCTGATATCTACAACAAAGAACTTTACAGTTGGATTCACAGCTCCTGCCTAGGAAAAAAACAATCACGGAACTGGTATTAATTAAAATATATATATATATATATATAATATCATTGCACAAGTTTAAAACTATACAAAAATGGCTAAATTATGACCATAAAATTATAACCAGACACTCTTAAACAATTTAATATAGATAAAATAAACTTAAAGGAGAGTCATGACATGCAACCTTCTCATATTCAGGCAGAAATACATAAATGGCTCCCGTTTAAGTAATGAATGTTCATAATTTATGTACTTCAAGCAAAAAAGGATAAACTTGTTAAAATCAATTATTTTAATCTGTAAATATATCCTGACTCCAGAAAACAAGAAGACTGATGGCTAACCACTAGGAAGAATACCTGGGTTCAGCCAAAGATACAATCCACTAGTAAAATTAGTTTACCTGAGCCCAGAGCCAAAATGCTAATTAGGAAGCCAATATTTCCACTGCAAATTCAGGTTCACTACTTTGGAGCTTTACAGTCAATATTGTGACAGAAATCTATAAAATTATTTTATATATACACACAGATTTTTCAATTGACAAATTAGAAATAATGCGATATTTTTAGTGAGAAGGTTCTATGGTGTTTTTTTTTTTTTGCCAGTTTACTCTTCAAAAAATAACATTCCACTGAAAATACATTTCTGTATTTAGTCTCTGATTTTTTTTTTTCTTTTAACTTCCTCTGTCTTCCTAAAATGGCAGCTCTTCATAAAGCAAATTGAACAGTGAGTTGGTAAAAATAAACATCCCTTTCCCCAAATTGCTTACAGCAAAAACACTTCACTATTAGATTTTCCTATAAAAAAATAGTGTGGCCACTATTTTTATGACACTAGTGAAGAATCCTGGTCCTTTCCTAAATCTCCCTCTTCCTTGGCTTAATAAAGCTCTTCAGTTTTTATAAACATGCATCCTGGAGAGAGAAACAGTCTTGAAAACCAAGACATGACACTATTATTCCAAATGTGGGACGTGTGAAATTTACATCAATGCCAAATTTATCACAGAACTACTAAAACTAGTCATGTATCTGTTAGTTAGTAATACAACCTGATATATAAGCATGCTTTTCAACTTTATCTAGGGCACAATCCAACTTCTGCAAATGAGATGAGCTTCTGATTCAATTACAGCCTCTCTTTTCCTCCATTCAAATATTTTCATTCCCTCTGCTTCTTTCAAAAGCATTTTCCCCATCTTTTTCGGCTTGTCATTCCTCAAAGTTTTTGGAGAAATTACAAAACCTTAAATCACACTCTTTCCTGGGATAATAAAAATACTTTAAAATTGCCAGATGCTGTTGACTTCAGCAAGAGTAATCACAGCAAGCTGTTGAAGAGAGACTGACAATATTTTCATTAGCAGGGAAAGATTAAATGAAACCATTCTCTTCCCATCAAATCACGGAACCGCTATATGAACAGAGCACAGACCTTTGGATATGGAATCTTCACGGTCTTTGGGTATTGCAGTGACTCATCGGAGTAGAAGGAGTATTCAATCAGTGGGACTTCTGTGTCGTTAAATTGGGCATATGCTAAAAAAGTGCCGTTTGGAGACCACCACAGAGCCGAATAAGTACTGAAGACTTCCTCTGAAAAAAAGGCAGAAATTGTTCTGTTACAAGAAGTAACTGATAAATTGGCTTTGGCATTCAAAATATTGTTCTCATTAGCTTTAGTAATTACAGTAGAGTTCAACTAATGAACCACTTTGCATTTGCTGGGCTTCCAAAATCAGAGTAATACAAATGAATAAAAATAAAATCTTCAAGGATAGAGCTGGATTGTAAAAATAAGTAACCCGCTGGACCATTTTTGAATATTTTAGCACACAATATTTAATATAAACTCTACATTTTTTCTTTATCTTATAATCCTCTAAATTTATGCCACAAAACATACTAAAAGTAAATCTCACATAAGGGGCTGATTCTCCTTTCTAGTTTTCAAACAGTCAACAGTTTGTACTGATTCTGCAGGGTACCGGTGGGTGGTGTGTGGCTCCAGGCTATCAAACCAATATGGTGCCCAGAGTTTATTCCTCTTGGCACAAAAGATGTGGGAAGGATGGATTTAGAATGGCAGGAAGCTCCATGAGACTCCTATCAAGGAGCTCCTCCTTCGCCTAGTCTAGAAACTGAGAACTCTCTTAGATCAACACCTTCCCCTGGTGTAAGAGACATGGGTTTGATTTCTAGGTCAGGAAGATCCCCTGGAGTTGGAAATGGCAACCCACTCCAGTATTCTTGCCTGGAGAATTCCATGGACTGAGGAGTCTGATGGGCTGCAGTCCATCGTGTTGCAGAGAGTTAGACACTACTGAAGTGACTTAGCACGCATGCACTGGTATATCAGCTGATGGGGGAAGAGGTCAAAGACAGAGGCAAATGAAAGGAAAGGTTTTGCTTTCCTGAACAACTCATCCTCAATCTCTAGCAAAGGTAGCTCTTTCCTGTGTTTATTATGGACTCAATTCATGGGACTTCCAATCTCTGGCTCTTAAAAATGCCAAAACCTCTTTCGTCAACTGGGAAGAGAGGATTCAAGTGGATTTGATGGAACCTTCTAGTCCTTTATGCAGAGTTAATCTACACATTTCATATTCTGCTGTGAGTGTAAAGGTAAAAGCAAAAGCATAAAAACTTGAATCTTAGAATTAGGAAATCATTTTATCCCACTTTTCTGATTTTCACAGCCTCCTGACAAAAGTTTATTTTCCAGATGCTTATTTTCAATAACAGTGATAATCACAGTAGTAGTTACAGGAATAATAATAATGATAAAATATAATCATTATAAGGATGAGCAGCTGACATTTGATGTCTTCTGTGCATGCACCAGACACTGATATCTGACATCTATTATTTCACTTAATCCTCATAATAATTCATTGTGCAGGTGAGCAAAGCAAAGCAGGTAGGCTTAAAGAGAGTAAGTCATTTACTTGGGAGCACATGGCCCATAGTTTCTAGAATCAAGAATGAATCCAGATTTTTCTCTTTGGAATTCAAGTTCCACTGTTCATTCCTGCCGATTTCAGCACGTCTAGTAACAGAAAACCTTCTGCTTGATCTGGCAGCTTGCTCCTCCTATGACTACTGTATACCTATATCACTGAGTCACACTTATGCAGCAATTTAGAATTTACGAAACACTTATCTAATTGAACCCTAGGTGACTCTATTCATAGACTATTTTACTGAGAGGACAGCTAAGGTTTAGAGAGAGTGAGTGAATTGCCAGAGACAAGAACACAGGCCTTGTGACTCCAAACTAAGGGGCTTTCCCACTAAAAACGTCTTCATATACCAAATCGATGTCTCATTCCCTGTGGCTTCTACTCATTGGTTCTAATCTCAGATCAACATGGAATTACATAAAATGAATACATTGACAGCAAGGTAGTGGTTTGTAAAGTCACTTTTAAGTACAGGTGGCAGGTAGAGTTAAATGTTTTGAATTAGTAGTTGTTTAGAATACTGAACTCCTCCTTTCTCTCTTTCATTCTTTATTTTTCTTTTCTATTGTGGTTTATCACAGGATATTGAATATAATTTCCTATGCTATACAGTAAGATCTTGTTCTTTATCCATTCTGTATATAATAGTTTGTATCTGCTAAGTCCAAACTCCCAGTCCATTCCTCCCGGCCCCCACCCCAACTTTGGCAACCACAAGTCTATTCTCTATGTCTGTGAGTCTGTTTCTGTTTCATAGATAAGTTCATTTGAGTCATATTTAGATTCCACATGTAAGTGATATCATATGGTATTTATTGTCTCTTTCTGACTTAGGGGAATACCGAACACATTTTTCCATAACAATGATGTGTCAAAACCATTATTATAAAACTACTCTGATCAAACTCAAAGTTCTAAGAATACAGGGATCAAGGGTAGGGAGAAAGAAGAACAATGAAGGGAAGAAAAGATTTCCAGCCCTACCTGAGCTGGTTGTGAGCACCCCCTAACACACCATCCTGCGATACCTCCCATCCCACCACAACTCCCATCTTGCCACTCTGAGTTTCCTTAGGCACCATTGGGACCTAGTTTCCTCCCTCTAACTGGATATCTCATTTGCTCCATGGCAATTACTTGCTGGGTTCTTTGTCTCTCTCTGGGAGCAGCAGTTGAGTAGCATTTGTGTCTGTTTCCCCAGCACCTGGCATAGCAACTTGTTGGTGGTTGGCACCCCACGTGAATCACACACCCCCTTGTCAACACTACTGCCTCAGGGGGTAAGGAGTGCTCTTCTTCCCAAATTATTTCCTTGCCTATCCCCTCTCATCTGTGCTCTCACCAAAATTTTCATTTTCATCTCTGGGTCAGGTAAACGATATTCATACTCAAAAATGACTGTTATGTAATTAACTTCATCCTAGAAGATAGACTATTAAAAAAGAAAGAAAGAACACATTTATTAACTAAAAGTTGAAGTTGAAGTGTTAGTTACTCAGTCGTCTTTGACTCTTTGTGATCCCATGTACTATAGCCCGAGAGGCTCCTATGTCCATGTAATTGTGCAGGCAAGAATACTGGAGTGGGTAGCCATTCCCTTCTGCAGGGGAACTTCCCAATCCAGGGATTGAACCCAGGTCTCCTGCATTGCAGGCAGATTATCATCTGAGCCACCAGGGAAGCCTTTTATTGACTAAAGTAAATAATAATCAACTAGAAAATCATGAAATAATGCAAAAACAGAGAAATTGAGAGAGAATGCTATTTGGGGACCCAGGGTGGGGAGGGGGCCCAAGTTCCGGATTATAGGCTCTTCTGTGAGTGTCCCTCCCCAGGGCAACACAATGGCCCTGTTTAGATCTTGCAGCTTTGTTTGTTCTTTTACTAATGAACCTATGGATTCTCCAAATGCACTTTTTTGATCCCAACAAGTCTTCACGGTTGCAATGGAGAGGGTGGCTCCAACAGAAGAGTGATCTGATATATGGAGAAACAGGTATGCTCTTTCTAAGTATGGAGTATTCATAAATGTACAAAACCAACTGTAGGAATTTCCCTGTAGGGACTAAAGTCCCAGTTTTTTTTCCATTTATTTTTATTAGTTGGAGGCTAATTACTTTACAATATTGTAGTGGTTTTTGCCATACATTGACATGAATCAGCCATGGATTTACATGTATTCCCCATCCCGATCCCTCCTCCCACCTCCCTCTCCACCTGATCCCTCTGGGTCTTACCAGTAAAGTCCCATTTTTAAAAACAGGCCCACATTGGAACTGTGAAGCCGTTCTTCTGCTTGTGAATGGCTTAGTCACCAACAGGCAAAACAAGTTTCCTCTAGCTATTATCTACCTTAGAAAGAACCTTAGTGTTGGGATGTTTTTATCTTAGAGATGCCCAGCTGTTCCAAGGAAGGGTGGGTCAGAGCTTTGGGAAGAGAATTTCTTTATCCAGCTCACGTTGGGGATCCTGAGGTTGTGCTGTGCTGTCCAACGAGTGTTAAAGATGCTTTTTAAGATCTAAGTGACAAGTGTTAGTAAATTTTATTATAAGTTTAAATCTAACACTTGTTTCTGGTTCATGGGAATTTATTATTCTTTTAAAGTGTTTTCTGTTCTTACAAAGTTATCCATTTGATTGCACTCAACCTGAACTGGTAAGAACCAAAATTGAGCCATGAAGAAAAACTAACTTTTTTTAAGTAGAGAAGAAATAACAGGTTAAAAAAAAAAAGATGTCTTTAATAAACATCATACAATTTTGTAAAGGGTTTGGAATAGCCTCAAAATGCCTTTTTACCTTGGCAACTAGAGACACAAATACTGTTTTCCTAATATTTTATAAAACTCTTTACCCTAAAAGAGAGAATCATTCTTTTTAACTTTTTCAGTTCTGTTATTTGAATCCATTTTCCCCCTAAGTCTAATTATTTTTTTCTTCTTTAAAAACAGGAAATGATAATTCGTCCAAGTTCAAATGAACCCAAAGCCTCTATAAAAGAGGCACGTTCTTTCCCTGGACTCCATAACCTCCAGACAATGTTTTGTCATCTTTTGGAATGTTGTTGGAGTTTTTAGTTTTCCTTAGTAACTTCTGGGTTAGGTAGACTTGGTTTGAGAAACATCTGATGTTAATCTGGAGACTTCTATGTCCCAGTAAAGCAGAAAAGCTACCTACACAGACAAGCCAATTATAGCAGCAGAGCAAAGTCAATGGGAGCATTGAAGTGACAGTGAGGATGTAGCAGTAACATTCACTGTGAAGAAATTCTTAGTCTGTGAGATAGATACCTGGTGCATGAGTGCTAAAGGATATTTGATGACTTTTTAAAAATACAACTTATTTTGAATGCCATTGAATTTCCCTGTTTTCAAAGACAAGTTTAACTGTTTTTGAATATGAACAGATTTTCTGATTTGAAAAAGTTTTAACGTCTTTACCTTCATAAACCCAGTCAGTTATTCCATTATAGATTACATCTTTTTTCCCAGTTTGTGTGATCCTCTGACTTGGAGAATTTGGTTCATTTTTCACATAAATATCATTGTTCCAAACGTATGCCTAAAAAGATTGGAAAAAAAGATGGATACACAACATGTTATATTTTATCCTAGAGCTTAAAAAATTTATCTACTATTTTATCCTCAAATAATATTGGTATGCAAGTGGAATGACTACCTTAGATTACTCAGTTTGAGCAGGAGGAAGAGTAATTTACGTTCTTAAATGTAGAAGTATACATGCTATAATACCCAAATAATCCTAAACACACTCTTTATCTACCAAAAAGAAGCAGCCCACAACTACTGCTATTGAATAGTAAAGTGTATGCAAATCCCAGAAGACTGTCCAATTCTATAGAATGATGTGTGCTTTGCATTTCTCTTGGCGGAGGGTAGGGGGCTGGAAGGGTGGGGTGGTGGGGGTGGTGGGGGGAGCTGAGTAGAGAGAAGGCAGCTGCAAGCTCAGAGTCAACTACAGATAAACAGTCTGTCTTCCTGTTTAGATTCTTCAGGACTTCTGACATTCTCCTAAGACTATAGAACATGAAGGTGTATCTATAGTGACATAGAAAAAGTCAAAGAACTAACAGAAAGTGGGAAAGCTTAAAAAAAGATTAACAAAATAAAACAGAACAAAAAACAAAATACAACAGGTTAGAATTTGAGTTTAATGAACATTTTTGCCAGTAAATAAACAATTTCCTAACAATAGTTCAGAAATTTTCAGGAATTGTATTAATATTTACTCTGTTAGACTAATAAAATGTTATTTTAGGTAATAATACTCTATGTGATAGTGACTACAGCCTTCCTAAGAATCTGCTCTGTATCAGGGTTAGGAGCCTCTGCAAATGAAAGATTTGAGCCATTATTTTCCTGTAAAGAAGAGAGACTTACTAACCAATTTATGACCCACTGGTGACCATGTAATCCACTGTGTGTTGTTTGGGATTCTCTCTTCTGTAATTAACTGCCTGGAAAAATATAAAAAGAAACATTTCCAAGTGGATAAATCACAGTAGAATTTCTTTTCTTTTTGATTATTACACTAGAGAAGCATAACTGATTTTGAGAGGAAGTCACTGACCTTTTATTTAAGTCATAAATGTCATAGGAAGCTGTGTAGGAATGCCTCCATTGCTACAAAAGAAAATAGACATTTCAGGCTTCTGTGATTCTTGATAGCTTGACCACTTGCTATAGAAGCCCAGGTGAGAGATAAAGCCATAAAACATTGTATAATCTCACATTTTATATCTTATAGTTCCCTATGTAGAGTCTTAAAATTTTGGAATTAGAAAGTATCTCAGAAATTATCTAGTGCAAACTCCTCTGGATTTCATTTATCATTTATCTCTGACCTTGCTTCTGCAAAGGACCACAGTGGGCTGGCATGCCACTTTCTGTGCAAACATAATTCCCAGAACTTAGCACAGTAATGCAAAGTTCATCTGTTTTTGAAAATGCAAATGTTCACTTTTCAGCCATTTTAGTGGCAAAATATCTTAAAGATCTCTAATTCTATTGGTGGTAGTGATGAGGAGAGGTGTTTACTCTCCTACATTGATTATGAAAGTATAAAGTGCTATAGTTTTCTTGAAGGCCACTTGGCAATGTGTATTAAAATTGAAACACACACACGCACACTGGAGAAGGGAAAAGCAACCCACTATAGTATTCTGGCCTGGAGAATTCCATGGACTGTATAGTCCATGGGGTCACAAAGAGACAGACAGGATTAAGCAAATTTCACTTTCACTTTCATACACACACCATCAATATTTTAAATAACTATCTCAAGAAGCTAAAAAATGAAAAGAAAACTAAATTCAAAGAAATTAGAAGAAAAGAAATAATAAAGGCAAAGTGTTAGTTGCTCAGTCATGTCCAACTCTTTGTGACCCCATGAACTGTAGCCTGCCAGGCTCCTCTGTCCATGGGATTTTCCAGGCAAGAATACTGGAGTGGGTTGCCATTTCCTTCTCCAGGGGATCTGCTTGACCCAGGGATTGAACCCAGGTCTCCCGCATTGTACGCAGACTCTACTGTCTGAGCTACCAGGGAAGCCTAATAAAGGTAAAAGCAGTAATTGAATAGAAGAAAATACAATAGAGAAAAACCAAAAAAACTGAAAACTGGTTCTTTGAAGACCCTAATAAAGTTACCAAGAGAGTAAGAAAAAAGTATGAATGAATATATCAGAAATAAAAAATGGGATGCCACAACAAGCTCTGTGTATGTGCTCAGTCACTCCATTTTATCTGACTCATTGCAGCCCCATGGACTGTAGCCTGCCCTGTTCCTCTGTCCATGGGATTTTCCAGGCAAGAATACTGAAGTGGGTTGCCATTTCCTTCTCCAGGGGATTTCCCTGACCCAGGGATGGAATTTGTGTCTCCTGCAATGGCAGGCAGATTCTTTACCACTAGGGCCACCTGGGAAGCCCCACAACAGGCTCCACAGACAGTCAGATTATGTTAAACGTGTTTTAGCCACACACTTTTTAAAAGAGCTTTTTGATACGCCATTTAAAAAAAGTCTTTATTGAATTTGTTGCAACACTATTTTTAATGTGTTGGTTTTAGATTGTGACACATGTGGGAATCCTAGCTCCCTGGCTAGGGATTGAACACCTCACTGCCCCAAACTGGAAGGTGAAGTCCCAACCACTATACGTTTACCTCTAGGAGTATGGTAGGGAAGACAGACATATAGACAACTAATTAAAAAAAAAAATCTTAAGGTATTTTTCTTTGCTTAAGAGAAAAGAAAAAAAAAGGTATTTTTTCCTTGTATACATGGTAGGGAAGTTCCTACCTATACATTTTAAAAGTAGGATAAAAGGACAAATTCCTTGAAAAATGAGTTACCAAAAGTAAGATGAAATTGTGAATCTGAGTAGTTTTACATCTAATAAACATCTGAATCTATAAATAACCTCTGTACAAAGAAAACTCCCAGTTCAAATAATTTTGCCAGCAAACTCCTTGTTATTTATCTGAATGAGTTGAAAACTTATACCTACATTAAAACCTACACACAAACTTTTACAGCAACTTTACTCATGTTTGCCAAAACTTGGACATAACCAGCCATGCAGAAGATAGAATATTATTCAGTACAAAAAGGAATGAGCCAGAAGACATTAAAAGAGATGGAGGAAACTTAAAAGCATATTGCAAAGTGAGAGAAGCTAATCTGAAAATGCTACCTAGTATATGGTTTCAACCACGTGACACTCCGGAAAAGACAAAATGACACAGAGAGTAAAGATCAGTGGTTCCTAGAGGTTCACGTGAAGGGAGGGAGAAACTGGCAGAGCACAGAAGATTTTTAGGAAAAATGAAAACATGTCCAACACAGAGAGTAAACCCTAATGTAAACTATGGACTTTAATACATACAGACTAGTATTCATGTTTGCCAAAGCATGAATAAATCTGCTATAAAAATTTTGTGTATAAGTTTTTTTGCAAAGGTGTAAGTTTTTAGCTCATTTGGATAAATAACAAGGAATTTGCTGGTAAAATTATTTGAGCTGAGAGTTTTCTTTGTACAGTAGCTATTTATGGATTAGTATAGTATGATACTATTAACGTAATGACAGATAAAAATCATTATACACTATACATTTGTCAAAACTCATAAAATGTACAACACAGAGTAAACCCTAATACAAATGATGGACTCTAATTAAAAATAATGTGTCAGTATTGGCTTATCAATTGTAACAAATGTACTACTACACGAATGCAAAATGTTAATAATAGCAAAAATAATAGGGATGGAGTGAGGTGGAGGGGTGGTAATGAAGTATATGGAAACTCCCTGCACTTTCCATTCATTTTCTGTAAACCTAAAGCTGCTCTAAAAAATAAAGTCTATTAATTCAAAAAATAAATGAATTAGAGCCATAACAGATGACTTGGAAGAATATCCACATGGTATCTCTGAGTGAGAAATGCAATTTACAGAAAAGGATGGAAAATAGGATTCCATTTTTATAAAATAAGCAATAACTAAAAAGCTTCTCTATCTGCATAGAATTGAGTGAATAAACAAATATAAAATATAGAGGGATATACAATAGATTCTCAACATGGGATACCTGGGAAAAAGGCAATGAGATGAGGAGCAGTTGTCTAGTCACTGAGTCGTGCTGATTCTTTGCAATCCCATGGGCTGTAGCCTGCGAGGCTCCTCTGTCCATGGGGATTCTCCAGGCAAGAATACTGGAGTGGGTTGCCATTTCCTTCTCCAGGGGATCTTCCCTAACCAGGGATAAATCCATGACTCCTGCAATGGCAGGCTGATTCTTTGCCACTGAGCCTGGGAAGCCCATGAGGAATAGAGGGCCAAGCAAAAAAATGGAAAAACAGTGAGACTGGAGGTTTTTAAAAAATATGATCACATATTTGCATTTATGAAAAATTAATGTTTATATGAGGAGGCAGATATAAATTAAAAATATTTTTTAAAAATTACTTGCCTATATATCTGTTTTTCCTACCATATTCCCAGAGGTAAGAAATTGTGTCTTATTCACACCTGGAATCTGTCCTAGCACAAGCCACATAGGAATATTCAAGAAATAAACCAAACTAAAATAATTAAATGTTACCTATGAGGCTGAAATAATGAAGTGGGTAGCCCAAGGACGCCGAGCTGTATTGGCAGAGCCGAGACACAGGTCAGGCTCCTAATCTTGAATAATGTTGCCCACTCATCATTTATCACCCTCCTATCCTTTCATGTCAACAAATATTTATTAAGTCTCCTCTTTTTGCAAGTCATACATTTCTTTTTGAATCCTGGATTATTTTGACACACTCCATGCTTGTTTCTGGGAAACCTCAGAGTATAATGCTCGGTAGAGCCAAAAGTTGTGGTACAGGCTAAAAATATTAAGAGATTTAAGAAGTTTTGAGATCATTTCAGGATGACAGATCTATCAGGGGCTGTAGAGGGAAATCCAAGATGTTTGCATATTTTGAAACAGACTCATCAGTCTATTTAGGCTAGAAACATTGGCACCTATCCTCTTGATTAGGCATTACTGCATAAGACAGGCTCCCTCTTTCTAAGGAGCTCATTGTTGAATGGGGGATATGGAGACATAAACTACTGGAAAAGAATCACAGAGCATGCAATGGAGATGGGTGGGGAAAGGCAGGAATCAAATTAGGAACTGAGGAGGCTGAGAGGCTTATAGGAAAGGTGATTATTGGCCTCAGAGGGCTGTCACATAGAGAAGGGCAAAAAAAGCATCATGGCAGAGAGAGGTTCAAGCACAAAGATAGGAATGATCATGTATAAGAATACAAGCTTTGGAGTCTTCTAACCTGGACTCAAGTGTTCCTATAGACTGAGTCTTTGTATCTCCTCCTTTCCCCAACTCATATGTTGAAACTTTAACTCCTAACGTGATAGTATTCTGGAGGTGGGGCCACTCTGGAGTGACTAGCTTGCGAGGGGGGGAAGCCCTCATGAGTGGGATTCATTTCCTCATACATTAGTTTCCTTGCCCCTTCCACCATGTGAGGACACTTGGGGAAGATGGCCAACTATGATGTAGGAAGCAGGACCTTGCCAGACACCGAAGCTGGTGCCACCGTGATTCTGGACTTCTCAGCCTCCAAAACCCTGAGGAACAAATTTCTGTTATTAAGTCACCCAGTCTGTGGTGTTATAGTGACCCAAATGGATGAAGACAAGTCTCTAACATGTAATATCAGACAGGTTTCTTTTTAAGCTCCAGTTTTCTCTTAAGGAAGATGAGGGTAGTGACAGAAACAATCTCGGGAACATGAGAATGCATGTGAAGTACTTAGCAGGGCACCTGTGAACACGTCATAGATGATGCACCTCTTATTGTCTGTACAGCATTAGGCAAAGAGGGGAGATGCTACGAGAACTTCTGTACTGGGCTGCATGGTACTTATTTGTTTACATTCTCACTCACTCACTCACTTATCTTTTTATAGCCACAACTTAAAAGTAAGAATTGATCTTTCTGAATGTGCTGGCTCAGTCATGGAGAAGCCACACAGCAGGGTCTAAAGAACACTGGAAATAGACTTCCTGAGAAATGGAATAAAACTAGACTTTTCTTTGTTCTGGATATGTTTCTTGAATACTGGAGTGGGTAGCTGATCCCTTGTATACGGGAGTGGGTAGCCAATCCCTTCTCCATCAGATCTTCCCGGCCCAGGAATGAAACCGGGGTCTCCTGCATTACAGGCGGGCTCTTTACCAGCTGAGCTATCAGGGAAGCCTGTATCACTTGGGAGTCCTTAAAATTACCCATGACTATGCTGAGTCAGATGACGTGGGGTAGGCTGTAGGTATCTGCATTTTGAAAAAACCTCCCCAGGTGATCCACTGTAAGCACAGGCCAAGCGTGGTGAATGCGGGGGTCGGGAGGCGGGGGTGGTGAGTTCACAAGGGCAGACTGAGGTCCAATCACTCAGGCTTCTCAGGTTGCCTTGGTTAGAGTTTGGGTTTTATTCTGAAAGTGATGAGAAGCTACTGATCACAAGAGTTTAAGCATAGGCACGACATAATCTAACTTAGGTTTTCAAAGGAGCATGGATACTCTTGGGAAACACGGATGGCAGGATGAAGGGGACAGAATGAAAACAGCAAAAGTAGTTAAATGCACATGAAAACTTCAGTGACATAACAAATACAAATTACCAATGATGGCTGTCCAGCAAGGTCTAACCATGAAATATATCTGTTAGTACATATCACATGGCACTTGTTGAACTTGGCAAAAGAATAAATCGAGCTGGTATTTACCTTGCTGTTTCTATCTTAATGTCACAGTCATTATATGTTTGACTTTAACATGGGAAATTGTTAACCAGCGGATCTCAACCCTGGTTGCTCGTTAAAAAACTCTACATGTTAAAAAAAAAAAACTGATGCCAGCTTCTCCCCCAGAGATTTCACTTTATTGACCTGGGGATTGGACCTGGGCACTTGGGAGTTTTTAAAAGCTTCTAATGTGATTTTTATCTGTATATGGCAATAAGAACCACTGAATTAAACAAATACTAATTCATTAATTGGAAACAGATGTGTTAAAGTTGGCATCAACTTCTGATTCGTTCCTGATGGACTGGTTTAGCAGGACCTAGTCAGCGAGTCTTCATGTCCAGGAAATGGAGCCCAGCACAATGAACCAGGGTAAATACTATGATTGGGAGTCACCATCCTCAAATGGGAATGGAGTATGGGATGGTTTGCATGACCTCAGTACACCAATGATGGTGTGAGATAAGACCACTCAGTATTTACTCTTTATTCTAGAAAAGAAAGGCAGAGGTCAGGATCTCCAGCTTTGTGTTTTGTTTTCAAGCAGAATCTCTCTACAGGTTTCTAATCTTTCTTGTATGTTTCAAAACTTCTCATACTCAACAGCCATCGTCAAATCCATGAATAATCAGAAGCTGCAGTTACAGTCACTGGTGATTGACAGCCACCCTAAACATGAGAGTGTTAGTTGCTCAGTCGTGTCTGACTCTTTGTGACCTCATGGACTGTAGCCCACCAGGCTCCTCTGTCCATGGGATTCTCCAGGCAAGAATCCCAGAGTGAGTAGCCATTCCCTTCTCCGGGGGATCATCCTGACCCAGAGACTGAACCTGGGTCTCCTACATCGCAGGCAGATTCTTTACCATCTGAGCAATAACTTAGTGACCTAGCAACAACAACAACAACTAAACATGAAAACGAGGTGTGATTAGGCTGAAACCTCTCCTGAAGGTGTGGGAATCTGATGTTGGGCTGGGCGCCTGCAGGAAGCTCAGTGTTCCCCACAGGGCGCTGGTGACTGCTGCCGAGCCTGCCCCTTAGTAATGGTTTGTATATGGTGGGACCTGAGGGCTGAGAGGTGGTCTGAGTCACTTCACAGAATCTCTTCTGGAATGAGACATCTAATTGTTTTTAAAGCAAATAATTGAGAGTCTTACTATTTGTCAGACAAAGGAAATAAAACAGTCTATTACTAGATATTACAAGTCAGACATGTAAACTTACTCTTAAATTATAAGTTCTATTTTATTAACTTATAATTTTAGTCTACATCTATAACATTACTTAAACTTTTTAGTATTTGAAAACTCTAAAATGAATTTATTTTAAAACACTCATTAGATTTATCTTTTATGAAGGAGAATGACCATTTCTTCTTTTGATGCCGAATTAATGAGTTTTTAGAGCCTATGCTTGACTTAGGTAATAACCTTAAATATTCATAGACCTGAGATCCCTTATAAAATAACACACTCATAGGATTCTTTAAATGTCACAGTAAAAAAGCATTTCTTTTACCTTCACATAGTTGTATTCGAAGAGAATATATTGTCTATCTGGAGAAACTGAATAATCATTTATAGAATGTCCAAATTCATCCTGTCAATCAAGTAGAAAGAAAAACAGTTGAATGATTCCATTTAACTGCTATTGTTGAGTGCCTACTATTGTTGGGTATGGTTCTAGACTTCTGTCTCGTACCTTGGGAGGTTCCAGTCTAGAAGAGGGGGCACATTCCCCTACACAGATGACCATGAGGCAAGGTGGGTGGTGATCAAGGTTAGAGAGTCAAGGAGGGAAGGATTAATTTTAAGCAAGGAAAGATGGATATGAGGGTGGGGATCAGGAACAGATAGAGAACTTTCTCAGGAGGGGAAATGGCAAGAGTATAAAACCAGATGTGGAAAGGGCATGCATATTTAGAGAGTGCCTAAGCGTAATCTGGATACAGTATAGGGTATCCAGACAAAGAGAGGACATACAATTAGAAAAATAGGTAGTGTCTAAATATAAGAAATGGAGCTATGAACTACTTTTTGCACATGGATGTGACAGAATCTTATGTGCCTTGTCCAAAGATGCTCTGGCAACCCAGTGGCTAAGATGAGATGAGAGAGGAGGGGTTGCATTAGCCTTGGACTTGGGCAATGTTGTGTTCTGATTTACAGAATGGAGAGAGGGATACACGTTATAATATAGTACTCACTGTCACGAAATTAATCAAGGCTTTCAACCAGGGCTATACAGTGGAAATGGAAACCTGAGAGATACTTGACATCACAAGAGAGAACTGATAGGGTTTATTGAGTAGCTCAGTAAGGGGGATAACAGAGGAATCAAGGAAGATTCTGAGATTTCTAGCTTCAGTGACGTGGAGGAGGGCGCTAGTTACTAAGACGGGGAAGAGAAATAGGATGCCTTCCCTTTGCTAGGAGAGGGAAGGGGGAATAACTAGCTTAGCTCAGGATACTGAGTTTAAAATGCCTGCAGACCATCCATGTGCAGGAGCCAGCAAGCTATTGGAAACAGAGGTCTAGATCTTGGGAGGAGGTTAGTGTTACAAGCATGTATCTGAGAAGCACTGATGCTGTGGAAATGCATGGAATATGCTGAAGGGGAGCACGCAAGGTGAGGAGGGAGGCTTGCAGTGAAGACAGGGCCCCGAGGAGCACTTACACGTAAGAGAATGGGCAGAGGAGGAGGAATCGTCAAAGGAGACTAAAAAGTAACCAAGGCAGGGAGCATTCCAAGAAGAGAAAGATCCACCGCACCATATGCTGCAGAAAGAGTCCAACAGGATGAGAAACGATAGTACTCATGATTTGAAAGGTTATGAAAAAAATCCCAGAATTCCCTCAAAGCATGAATTAATTATGTGATTAAACATACAAATGTACTGTTCTCCAAGAAAATGGAGCTGTTTCCATATTCAGCATTGAATAGCAAGATATTATTTTCTTGTTTGTAGAGATATTCATGATCTAAAGAGAGAAAACGACCAGATCAATATTTCAAGTTGCTATTAAACATATTCATAAACTAAAAATTCATGCAATAAAAATGTAAGATTTAAATTCACACAAGTTCTAAGTTGGAAAAACATGAACTGATGAATATTACACTAGTATGCCTTCATTTTCCCATCATTATTATAAAGGGTTCGATTCACTTTTAATTTTTTACAGTACATGTCAAAGAAATACTAAGGTTTCTTTCTGTCTTATCTCCTTTTGCACCCGTAAGTAGAAAACAATACTTTCCCATATGGTTTTAAAAAAATAAGAATATATTCTCATTGCCATAAAGGTGCCCCAAAACCTAACTGAAATTAAGCATAAAATGAAAATAAGCATAAAAATCAGCCCCTCTCTCCACCAAAAAGCCTTACCTGAAACCCATCTCAAGTTGTAGAACTTCAGTCTAAAAGTGTTTTTTAAATAATCAGCTAGAGTGTAGGTTCTGCGACTATCAGTTGAAGCATCATCTATTGGTTGGGAAAAAAAAGTCAAATATTCAGTATGAAGGGATAACTTGTTTTGAATAAAAGTTTTCAAAATGGATTTCTACAGTATACACTGATCACAAAATACAGAAACACATTCACAAAATGCAAAAGACACTGAAAGATTTTGGATTGAGTAGATGGGTAAACACACATTCAGCTGTTCAAGTGGATATGAGCATGTGTTTTACAGTGCTATATTAATGAGCTTCATTTCAAAGGTCTAGATCAGCAATGCTCAAGGGAAATATAGTATGAGTACATTTTATAGTAACCATATTTTAAATTTTTTAAGGTAAAATTAATTTTAATAGCATATTTTATTTAGCCAACATATCAAATATGTTACCATTTCAATGTGTTATCAACATTAAAATGTTACTAATGAGATCTTTTGAGGGCTTCCCATGTGGCTCAGTGGTAAAGAATCTGCCTGCCAGTTCAGGAGACACAGGAGACTTGGGTTCGATCCCTGGGTCTGGAAGATCCCCTGGAGGAAGAAATAGCAACCGACTCCAGTATTCTTGCCGAGGAAATCTCTTGGACAGAGGAGCTTGGTAGGCTACAGTCCATGGGGTCACAAAAGAGTTGGACATGCTTAGCAACTAAACAATAACAACAATGAGATTTTTCACATTATTTCCTTTCTGTAGTAAGTCTTTAAACTCTGATATGCAATCGATGTACCAAGTTGAGTATATCTTGATTTGATAGGCACCTTTTCAGTCATGTAGCCATGCAATGCGTGACACAAAGCTAGATCATCCTTCTGTGAGGCCCTAAGGTTCACTGCTAAGTCCTCTTGCTCCACACAAACCTTTAAGATATGCTAATCACCCAGTTCAGAGATCTTTGTTTCTATCATCACTTTTCCTTGACCTTGATTAAAATTTACATGGAACCTTTCTCTTGTATTCTGTGACACAGTCCTTCTCTTAACTCTCTGACCATTAGTTTTCCATCTCCTACTTTGACTGTCTTTTTCTCCATTGACTTGCAAGGCAGAAATGCTTTGGAATTAGTCTTCAACTTTCTGCTCATCTCTCTCTACAGTCTTCCTTGCAGAGAACTCCAGAGAATGCGGCTTCAGGAATACTTTCCACTTAGATAAATGACAAAATCTGCACTCATTACCTTAGCCTACTACACCCACACTCATATTTCCAGTGCGGTGTTCAGCCTTCTTACTTGACTTGTTCCACTCTAACCCTATCATATCTTGTCTAGAATAATTGTCCACCTTCCAAAGCTATATTTCCATAGGAAATTGTGTGATTTTATACTCTGTTACTGAAGACCCAAATTCAAGATCTGAAGATCATTCTGATATCTCCTTTTTTACCATCACCTACAATCTACTGACTCTTCCTTTGAAATCTTTTCTCCAGGTATCCTGCCATCAGGTTCTCCCACACCAGTTTCTGCACTGCACTATCACTGGAATGATCTTTCTAAAGTTCCACTATCATCTGGTGAGCTCTTCCTCAAAAGCTTTCACTGAGTCTTCACTGTCTACAGGAAGATTCAGACTCCTTCACCTGGCACTGGCAGCCTCCACAATCTGACATGAGGCTCTAGGCTTATTTCTGCTCTCTTCCTGCAAGAACCTTCTGATCCAATCACACAAATCTTGCTGAAGGCAGTGGATCCTCTTAGGCTTACTTACCTCTATTCCTTGCCCTAAGCTACTTCCTGGAATGTCCTTGACTGTTTCCCCATCTGTCACAATCCTCCAGCCTCCATTTCCTTCCTCTATCATTCAATTCTGCCTTTGACTTTTGCCCCCTCATTGGGCTCCTATCACTTAATATCTCGTGTTGATAACTCTTTTTCCATGCCTACCTGTGTGACCTACTCAAGTAGGCCATGTATTCTTTGAAGACAAGGCTTTGTGTTTTTGTTGATTAATTTGGGGGTTTTTGTTTTTCATCAACCTTAGCATCTAGCACAGAGGTATGTCTTAATGTGCTATGCTGTGCTTAGTTGCTCAGTCATGTCTGACTCTTTATGACCCCATGGACTGTAGCCTACCAGGCTCCTCTGTCCATAGGGATTCACCAGGCAAGAAAACTGGAGTGGGTTGCTATGCCCTCCTTCAGGGGATCTTCCCAACCCAGGGATCAAACCCAGGTCTCAAACCCAGGTATCCCACATTACAAGGGGGTTCTTTACCATTTGAGCCACCAGGGAAGCCCATGCCTTAATAGAGACATGCAAAAAAAGTTTTCATTTGTTGGTGTTGGGTATCATCCTATAAGCACAGTTAAGCCAATGTGATTCCTCTTCCTCAGTCCCAGAGCATCTGCTGATTACAAATACCCTAAAGTCTTTTTCCAAACTCTATATTTTTCACATACATATAAACAAACACTCACAAAATCAGCCACTACCATAATATTCCTATAACTGCAGTTCTTTGAGAGAGATTTCAAAGACAGCAGCATCTTCTCTTGTTAATTTTTTACAGCGCATGGAAAGGTAGTTCTCTTACAGGAAATGTTCGTTCAAAAAATGTTTTTAAGATTTTATTTCTTTGGATTTGATCTCATAACATAATCTTGTTTCTGCCTATAAAACCTTTAGTTTTGGCAGATAAACTTGCTACACTTCATTTTATTATTTTATTGATTTTCCTTAAGCCTAGTTTGTTAAGTAAAAGATTTTTTTTTAACTATTGTTTTTTTCAATTCAATCCTGCATTTCTCCCCTGAAGGTCAGTAAAATATTTGTATTTGTTAGCAGAAATACAAGTGGGTGAAGCTGGTCCTTGAACCTAACTTTTAAACAAGAAATAAAGCCTTGTGCTACAGAAAATAGTATTTGTAACTCATATTGGACTACAAAACTACAAATGTGGATTTGTTCACTAAATACCCTCATTGTCTATATTCATCCAATCATCCTATTATATATCAAATCATTATAAAGTGAGTATTATTGCAGAGAATAAATACCCTGCTATCAAGAGCTATTAGTCTAAAATGGACAGATGTAAAACATATCCCCAAATTAGTACAAATCATAGTATCAGTGGTTATAGATGTGCACATTCCAAATATTATCTGCTGATGAATATGTTTAGACAGATCTATAGAAATAGGTTGATTTATACACCAACCACACATATACATGCAACCGAATAAGTGTTTGTGTCCTCTCAAAATTCACATGCTGAAATCCTAACCGCCATGGGATGGTATTGGAAGGGGAAGCCCTTGGAAGGTGATTAGGTCATGAAGTGGAGCCCTCATGGATTGGATTGCTGCTGCCGCTGCCAAGTCACTTCAGTCGTGTCCGACTCTGTGTGACCCCTAGACGGCAGCCCACCAGGCTCCGCCATCCCTGGGATTCTCCAGGCAAGAACACTGGAGTGGGTTGCCATTTCCTTCTCCAATGCATGAAAGTGAAAAGTGAAAGTGAAGTTGCTCAGTTGTGTTCGACTCCCAGCGACCCCATGGACTGCACCTACCAGGCTCCTCCGTCCATGGAATTTGCCAGGCAAGAGTACTGGAGTGGGTTGCCATTGCCTTCTCCACATGAATTGGGTTAATACCCTTTAAAAAGTGACTTCCAGCACTTCCAGTGCAGTGGGCATGTGTAGCATCCCTGGTTGGGGAGCTAAGATCCCATGTGTCTTGCAACTAAAATAAAATAAAAAATTACAAAGTGACTCTAGAAAGCTCTCTTGCCTCTTCTGCTATGTGAGGACACAAAAAACGGGTCCTCACCCAACACTAAGCACGAAGTCTGCTGGCACCTTGACCTTGGACATCCTAGCTTCCAGAACTGTAAGAAATAAATGTTTATTGCTTAAGCCACCTGTCTCTGGCTGTTTTATAACAGCAGTCCACACATACTAAGACATACATATCTATAAAAAGACAGACATAGCAACATAAAACATCACTGACTATTGAAAAAAAAAATCTGGCTGAGCCACATAGCTTGCAGGATCTTACTTCCCTGACCAGGGATCAAACCCCTGGCAGTGAAAGCACCAAGTCTTAACTACTGGGCCACCAGGGAATTCCCATCTGTCACTGACTTTTGATTTCGTAAGAAGAGAATGAACTGAGTACCTACAATATAGATCAGATACGGTGCTATCTAAGTGGTATCTCACATGGGAGTATTTGCCCAGGTTTTATAGCACACTTCAATCTGGAATAATAAAATAACTGAGGCAAAAGTCCTCTGTGATGCCACTGCTGACCCAGATGCTGCTCCTCCCCACTGGGCACTTACCTCTCCCACCACCTCACCTGATATCGCGGGACTCATCCTCTCATCAGGCCTCAGAATTTCCACACCCACCATCTCCACCAGATTCAGGCTCCCTTCTGCTCAGCCTGATTCTGATCCCTCTGCTGATGTTCAGATGCCAACACTGATGCTGTGAGCTTGCTACGGCCCAAAACATAGGTGTGAGGCCTGGGCCACCCTCAGCTTGTGGTACCCTCACTCAGGTCCTTTACAACGACCCTGCATGCCAGGGTTCCCTGTCCTGGCTCCCCACACCCCAAACACCACTGCAAAACTGGAACAAGCAGAGCAACAAATGTTCCTTGTTTTTTGCCTTGCCATTTGATGAGCAGCGCTCATTAGAAGATACTTTCGAAACCTCTAGGTAAGCAAGTTCTATGAGACGTGAGTGCCAAGTTCAGGTTTTGACCTTTAGCAAGTTCACTGTTTGCTGCCAACCTATTCTGTCAAACACCAGAGGACACGGTCACATTTCTCTTTCCTTGTCTGCTTGCTCACTGACAGGGCACCCTGAAGGTCTTTGGCTGCTCCTTTGGTTTTCCCGGAGGGCCTGGGACATGCCGTTCACTTGACTGATCAGTTCAAAGCGCTGTGCTGGCCAAGCAGAGCGGTTAATCATATGTTAGCCATCAGCTTACACCAAAACTTCTAGATTCATGCCTCCTTGAATTTAAAAATCAAAAACAGTTGACAACTTTAATACAGTCCCCTATATATGA